TAACTTCCAGTCTGTTGTTAACTAGAGCAAGGAATTGCGTCTTAATTTTAACACTTCTAAAATGAAACTTCTTCCTTTTTATCATCTGAGAGACCTCTTTCTATCGTCCATCACCATGGCTGATGCTAACCTCTAGAAGACTGATTCATTGTACCTTCTCGGGCTAACCTTCTTGGCTGACATGAAGTGGAAAGATTATATTGAATCCATTGTTAGGTCTGCTGATGAGTAAGTTCATTCACTGACTGTCGTCGCTGGGTGTTCACCACAATGTCCACTTATATTTACACACGTTCTATCCCTGATATTGAGCACTTTTACCTATAAATACAGCATATCTTCAAACTATATTTTTTATCTTATATATATATATATATATATATATATATATATATATATATGTGTGTGTGTGTGTGTGTGTGTGTGTGTGTGTGTGTGCGTGCGTGCGTGCGTGCGTGCGTATTTAATAAACAATAAAATCGAAAAATCAACTCATATGGGGAATAGCCCATTTCGGCAGATGAAAATATCGATCGTCTATCTTATCAACCACGGGTTCGTGTCACAAATAGAAATTTAACTGTGAAAGTTAAAAAAAAAAACAGTCGAAAATCTAATACAGAATTTATCCATTCAATGTTTCAGTCAGACGAAATGTACGAGACAGAGATCAGGGGAGGGTGGAAGCTATTTGTCTGAAAGGTGAGAAGTTTTATAAAATTCAACCCGAATATTAATTTGGTGTTATGAAGAATGAAATATTAATTTAAAAATCAAAGAGGAATAAAAAAGGGTTTAAAAATAACTTTAAAATATATAGATAAAAGGATTAATGGAAAGAGAGTTGGAGAGATTTTAAAGTAGGGGAAAGTTTATAAATTATAATTAATATAGTGTAAAGAGATTATAGAGGTGGGGGATATAGAAATTAGAATCAGTTATACATTCTACGAGTTAGAGGGGAGTGAATATTATGGAAATATAGTAGCTAATTAACTTAAACTTATATTGTGGAAATTTGAATTATTGAATATATACCAACCAACTTGGTACCTTTACTATCTCTCTCTCTCTCTCTATATATATATATATATATCTATATATATATATATATATATATATATATATATATATATATATCCTTCTAATATACTTCTATACTCAGCCCTGAGACTCAGAGTCGTGCTACCGGTGAAGGATAATATATATATATATATATATATATATATATATATATATATATATATATATATAAGAGCAAGTATATTTTCAAACACCTTCTATAATAAATGTTAAAAGTTTGCAACTGAAATGCTGCTGCCTGACTTGGACTTTGCGTGTATTGGTTACTGTGTCATTTTCAAACGTACAGACGATAGCTGTGATTCATGGGATTTATACATCAATTAACAATAGAGGAAGGACACGAAGAAGAAAAGAGATATGGAAAATTTCTTTAGAAAATTTTTTAAGTTTTCTTAAGTAGTCTACTTTTTAGTCAATGCTGATAAAAATGATCGTTGACAGATGTAAAGAATATCAAACGCCATTAAATTAATTAAAAATAAAAATGTTAGAAAACATTTTAAACGATCTTTTCCCCTTTTTCTGGTTTTTTTTTTTTTTTAAATTTATTCTATATAATCAGAAATTTACAATATATATCACCGGAAATGCCAAGCCATTTTCGCATCTGGAAGAGAATAGTTTAAAATATGTTAATTTCTTTATAAACCTAATACTCTTAGACCGATAAATCGCATAAAAAAGTGGAACGCATTTTTTGAATTGTCTGAATTTCTGGGACGAGAACTTATTCTTCACATTCAGACTAATATCCTCATCTTTGTTACCATTACTAAAACGTATGCGCATTATGCCCTTCAGCCTTTTGCAGGTGTCCATGAAACCTTAAAGTTATTTCGAACCGAACCCTTTATCTAATCTACGGGGATAGATGTTTCTTGTTATTCACGCCTAGATACACATAGCTTATCGTTTCTCTAGGTCAACTACTGATGTACTGAAGATATTTTCGGAAAGAGTTTATCATGCTCGAGATAAGAGCGATGTAGCCCAGGCTGTTACATTGGACTACTCGAAAGCCTTTCTCCACAAGCTGAAAAGTTACGGTGTCCCCGGACACTTTTTTGAACTGATCCAGTTTTTCCTGTAAAATCGTGAAATGAGAGTTGTCCTGAACGGCCACTCGTCTACATCCTTTTGTACTAACGCAGATGACCCCCAGGGTTCCATCCTTCGCCTTACATTTTTTTAAATTTTCAGAATGACCTTCTTGATGACATCCGCTCTCAACTTGGTATCTACGCTGACAACACAATAATTTACTTCTACCTCGACAGTAAGGCTTATCAGTTTGACAGGTCGAAATGGCAGCCGATGTCCAAAACGACCTCAAGACCGTTGTTAACTGGGACAAAAGATGGCTTGTTAATTTCAATACCTCGTAAAATTAAACTTCTCTTCATTAATCATCAGAGAGACCCTTGCGCTACCTTCCATCAACATGGCTGATGCTATCCTCTATCTTTTAGAGCTCACGTTCTTTGCTGATATGAAGTGGAAAGACGATAGTGAATCCATTGCTAGGTCAGCTGCTAAGAAAAATCGTTTTACTATATCAGTCAAGACATTTTTTCTCTGCAGAATCTATATTACATATCTATAAGTCTACGATTCGTCCATGCTTAGAATATTGCTGCCACATATGATCTGGTGCCCCTGCTATTTACCTTGAACTCCTTGATAGGATCCAAAGAAAATTCTTCAATATTATTGGCCCTGACCTGGCGGCTCAGCTCCAGTCACTCTTCCACCATCATAAGGTTGCCTTTCTATGTCTTTTCTATAAATAATTTTAAGGTAATTCTTCGAATGAGCTCTTCGTTACGGTTCCTAGAATTTTTGAATAAAGCGCAGCACTAGAATGGCGTCGAGGTCTCATCAATTTACAGTTGATCAGGTTAAATGTAGCCGTAAATTCTTTGCTAAGAGTTTCTTCTCTCACACTTCTCGCTTGTGGAACTCCTTTCCGGCTCAATGCTTTCCAAGCATTTTTCTGAAAAAAAATTAAATGCAATGTCAATCGCTATTACTATCCACCTATCTCTTCTCTTTCTGCTCATCATGTATGTTTCTGTTCCTAATTCTTCCACACCTTGTAACCCGTTGTATGCTAGTGAAATTACTGCCTTGCTTGGGGTGATGCGTTCGTGCAGCGTTATAATTTTCATACACTTCCTTGGAGTAACGGTCATCGCAGACAACTAATCGGCAGTCGAGACAATAGTGTCTGAGTGTAATAAAAATCTGATGCAATCACGGATGACGCAATATTTTTCAAACCAAACAAATTTCATCATACAACCCGAAAAAGGATTCATATTACTGCACACCGCTGCAAATGACCTAACCTCAGGAAAAGATGGAAATCGATTACACCCTGTCAATCCAGTGGGTCTAACACTGACCATATACTGAAAGAAAGGAAACTAAAGCGATTGCGGTTGTTTCAATTAATTTGCACACGGGTGTATACATATATATATATATATATATATATATATATATATGCTCATATGCTCCTGGAAAAAATTATTTCGGCTGAGCTCTCGGGGAGAAAAATGAATTTAAAGGAGTGAACAATACTGCTGCTGATGTAAGACTCATTCTTAAAACGAATCGAGTTCTCCCAGTCACTGGCAGGCTCATCTAAACATAAAAAATACGTCTAAATTCACCTTCATCCCTGCTGTGCGCCAATGGCTTAAGAGTAGAGTCTCCAACAGATACCAAATCAGTCGGGTCTCGATCCCGCCTTGAGGCAATCGGATGAGAAACAGTCTGTGGATGACAATATATATATATATATATATATATATATATATATATATATATATATATATATATATATAATTGATACTACTTCTAGTATTATTTAAAATAACCATGTTTGATTGATTTAGAATTATAGTTCACCTGCACGAGGTGGCTTCCCTCTGTCTTTTCTATAGATATTTTCATGGCAACTGTTCTGATGAGTTTTTTCTCTGGTCTCTCGACTACTTGAATTTTAGCGTAGTACGAGACTGGTAACTAACTCTCATCGTGTTACTGTTGAACTAGCCAGATGCAATCGCCAATTTTCTTTTGGCAAATTCTTTTCTCGCACTTCTCACCCGTTTGATTGCTTCCCTGTCACCTACAATCTTTCTGGTGGAAGATATGCATTCAATTATCATCTTTTTTTAATTATTATTATTGTTATTATTGTTGTTGCTGCTGCTGCTGTTGTTGTTGTTGTTCACACATTATAGAGAATTAATCGTCTGCTTTTTATATCTACATTTAGAATTTGTGTTAGCCGATATATAATCATTATGATAAATGAAATTTTATCTTATCTACAGCTTACATAAGCAGCTAATATTTAAATAATTTGCAATGTATTTTATGGTTAGATCCCTACGATGGATTTCTATATATGCTTTTAGTGATTGCTGTCCAAATATAATCATTAAAGTGGATGAAGGTTTTCTTATATTTATTTAATAGATAGTGTAGTCATTTAATGCCAATGCAAGGACGATAACTCGAGTTCAAGGGAAAAATTAATGGCGTCACAAAAAAACTGTATGGATAGCTGTCTTGCTGCTGTCAGTAAGTTAGAATCAAGGACCATTATCACTGTGTTTAATTTTCACCGGATGCAGCACAGTAGTGGTCTTGTGTCGTTGATAAGCTAAGTTTAGTAAATATTACTGAGATGTTTAAGTGGAATCAATGGTTGATGTTTAAGTCGAGATAAACGCCGGAGCTTAAATGTTGATTTTCAAAGCAGTTTTAAGCCCTCCCCATATAAATTGTCCCAAAAAAGGACCAGAAGGATTAATAATATCAATGTGGAAGCAACCAAAGTTTTAAAGATTTTTTTATAAAATATTTTTGTACAGGAAACATTGGAATGAGAAAAGATTAACTTTCTTCTTGCGAATCATTTTGTGGTGGAGTCTCTCGTTTACTGGTCATAAGTTTTAAACTTCGTCTATCTGCAGCACTGACACGATTTCTCCGGAAAAAACCAAACTGCAATAATAATAATAATAATAATAATAATAATAATACATGGTTAACTAATAATAATGCTATTGCTAATGATATATGGTTAAATAATAATAATAATCACAATAATCTATGGTTAATTAATAATAATACTATTACTAATAATATATGGTTTAATAATAATAATAATATATGGTTAGCTAATACTACAACTACTAGTAATAATATATGGTTAGATAATACTACTACTACTACTACTAATAATAATAATAATTATTATAATAATATATCGTTAAATAATAATATATAGTTAACATAATAATAATAATTATAATAATATATCGTTAAATAATAATATATGGTTAACATAATAATAATAATAATAATAATATATGGTTAACTAATAATAATAAAATGTAGTTAATAATATATGGTTAACTACTACTACTAATGCTACTAATATATGATTAAATAATAATAATAATAATAATAATAATAATAATAAATGGTTAAATAATTATAATCATATATGGTTAAATTTTCAAAACTGTTTTTCAACAGAGAAGAGCGCGTTTTAAGAAAAGGAAAAGAAAAGACAATATTTAGCAATTTTTTAACAATATTTCGACAGTATGTCTGCCTTCTTCAAGTTATGTTTAAAAATTGCATACAAGTATAAAAATATCTGTCTATATCTCTGAGATGAGGTATTATGATTATTTACATTATTCGGACTGTTATCTTCATCTTCATTGCCATATTCACAATGTTTCTGGTTCCATTGGGAAATAGAACAATCTACCCCGATGGATAAAGGCGTTGGTTAGATCCAGTGACTAGATCCAAAGAGTTGTGAGTTCAATACCAGGCTACAGTGGTGGTGAACCAGAGTTGAGTTAAAGGAAAATAACTGCGACATCCAGAAGAGGCATGGCACGTTGAACTGAAACAATTTATCCCGGTGGGTTCGGATTGAAATTCCAATCACCTGAAGAAGGCCGGAGCAAGCAACGGCCGAAACGTTATGAATATAGCAATGAAAGTGACAATCACAGTCCGAATAATGTAAATAATTTAAGTAAGTATAAAAATTTGTACAAAGACTTGTATTTTTACATTTTTATAACTGCATGCAATTTTTAACATAATAATAATAATAATAATTGATATAATTAAATAATTAATAATTATGAGAATAAAAGAAAGGCTTAAATAAAAATCATAATAAAAATAGGGTTACAATATAATGGTTAGTAGTAAACAAATAATAAAAATTAAAAAAAAAGAGCATGTAAGATCGGATGTGTCTCGTAGAGAATCAGCTGATCAAAAAATGAGATCAAAAGGAATTTGAAAAAATTTGAATTTAAAGCATAATACCTAAATGTTAAGAATTTCCGTATAAAATCTGTTATGAAACAAATTTCAGAACAAAATAAACGTGCATATCGAAAAGTGTTTCCTTAAATGAAATCTGTGTCAAATAGGAAAGTGGATAACTATATTCACATTTAAACAATTAATACAGAAGCATACAAATTTTGGGTTTGTACTATGGACTGTTTATGCTTTTATATATATATATATATATATATAAACAAAGTTCTCTTGGGTCTATCCGTTCCCTTTTCCTGTCCAGAAGTAAGTTAGAGGTAAGTCAGGATAATAGAAAAATAGTCAATTTCAATTAAGATTTGCGCTGAGTTGGAACAACCAAATTGCTTACTTAATGAGTGGATGTTCAAAACAGGTCTGCATTGGAATGTGGTAAGAGAAAGGCAATGTCCTTTCCGAAAGTAGGATCATAAAATTACGCAGATGACCAAGATCCCTTTCCGGTACTTTTATTACTAGCATCATCGAAAATGTATTTCTTTTTTCTTATTCTTTATTATAATTTTACTTATTGATTTTATTATCACACAGAACAACAGCATAGCTAAGGATGCAAGGGGAGCAGTAATTGTGCTCTACTTAAGCTCATATTTTAAGCGTGGCACGTTTTAAATATTTTTTAAAAAACTCTCTACACAGTGACTCGATAAAGGAAGAAGTATTTAACAATGTAAAATATTGAAAAACCACCACATTTAAAGAATTGGCTTAAGTGGGCATCCATAAATTTTTTAATTATTTCACCAACAAGCAAAGCGGAATGTCTCTAGTGCGAAGGGGGTTATATGGAGTGAAAGTGAAAGAGAAGATTGCGTATAGGGAGGATTGAGGAAAGGAGAAAAGACGAACGTGAGTCAAGAAGATAGAAGATTGCGATTGACGTTGCATTTAAATTTTTGAAGATTTTTATCAGGGAAGCAAGTAAACAGAAGGGAGTTCCATAGTGTGAGAAAAAGAAACTGTTGGAGTAGAAGTGTCGGTTGAATTTAGCTATTTCAACAGTAAACGGGGGGACCTAGATGCCAATCTAGTAGCACGCTTAAATTTATGTTGTCGAGGCACCAGGTTAAAAAGCTCGTCAAATTTGTGAAAATATTTGTAGAAAAGACAGAAGAAAGCCACACCACGTCGGTGAGAAAGTGACTGAAGTCTAAATGCAAAGTCAGGATCGATTACATTGCAAATCAGTTTTTGAATTTTGTCAAGAATCTCGAGATGAATAGCAAGAGCACCAGACCAGATATGGCACCAGTATTGAATACACGGGCGAATGGTGGATTTGTAAATGTGTAAGATGGACTCTGACAAGCCAGATTTTCTGGCATGACACAGTGACCCAACATTCCTTGCAGTAGATGCAGCTATTGATTCCTTGTAGTGGCTCACATGCCACAATCGCAGATAAATGCAAGTTTCATACAATATGCTATTAGAACTGAAATATAACATTTTCAGCAAATTACACCCTTATGCTTTTTATTACCTTACTTGGGGTGAAATGATTAAAAACAAAAAAAACCCAACAAAACTCAAGTTCAGGAAGACTCCCCACCAGCCTACTCAGCGCGAGGACAACTCAACACCAGCCTACTCAGTGTGCGGACAACTCAACACCAGATTACTCAGCACGAGGACAACTTACCACCAGCCTACTCAGCACGAGGACAACTCACCACCAGCCTACTCAGCTCGAGGACAACTCACCACCAGACTACTCAGTGTGGGGACAACTCAACACCAGCCTACTCAGCACGAGGACAACTCAACACAAGCTACTCTGCGCGAGAGCAACTAAACGGCATACAAACTAAGAAATTTGTTCGTCGACATTTTAAAAAGAAATAAAAGTAAATTATTAAGGATCGTATTTTAATACATGACTTTATTTTTAAATTAAAAACCTGTTGAAAATTATATGCAATTCCCTTCAAATATTCAGTTGAAGACTGTTGAGAAAAAAAGACGATCTGCAAGATTCTTTCATCTGCCTTCATTTGCTTCTTCAAATTAGTGAAAAGGGATGACCTCGAATTAATTGCTCAAAAAATGCATCTCGGCTTGTTTGCATTTTTTTTGCAGCCCTATAATGAGTCTCCATATTGTGGGTTGCTCCATCCCCAGCTCCGTGTACAGTTTTCTATTTGCTGCTCCAGTATAGATATTTGTCCGATCTTGAATATTAAACACTAGTCAGCCAAATAAGAAATTGTAATTAATAAATTACTAACACAAACAGCCAAACTTTCAAAATCTCTACAACTCAAAGCCGATTTAACAGATTTACACACCATAACAGCCAACATCAGACTGAAATTATGAATTTGATGCCAGCGTTGAGTTGTCCTTGTGCAGAGTAAGGTCGGTGGTGAGTTGTCATGGGCATCAGCTGTTCCTTTTTCTTTTTTATGTGCCGTGTTACTTCAGGACGTAGGCGATCATGGCTCTCCACTTCCTCCTATCTCTTGTAGCTCTCAATAAGTTTTGTCCCTGTTACCCCAGGCCTTGTTCTGTCATCCATTTGCTTAAGCCCGCTAGGTATGTCATGCGTTGCTTTCCCTTGTCTCTCTTTCCCTCTATTCGACCTGTGAGTAATTGGCTGGTGTTGAGTAGGTGATGCTGACGTGGCAGTGATGAAATATCTCATCCCGTCCTCGTGACTCCTTGATTTTAAATACAAAATGGCGATATAAAATAAATTAAAAATTATTTGCTACGTGTTTTGTCGATTTTGTTTATCTGTTTCACTTCCATTTATTTAGAACCTCGGCTAGAAGCGAATCTTAGCATCAGGCATGAAAAATATTAACTATTAAACATAATTTGGTGCTATTAAAATAATATAACCTTGTACCAAATGGAAGCTATGCTTAAACATATAGATTCATATGCTAGGTTCATAAAATAACACAATTGTTCGTAAGCTTGCCTTATAGACTGTCTTTCCTAATTAATGATTCTGGTCAGACTAAACGAATAGAAAAGTAACGGAACTTATAAGTTTTGAGAATCAAGTGGTTCAGGATGGCCATATTACTGAGTTAAAAACAAGGGAATTGAATCAACGTTATTAAATTTTGAATTAACTCTCTTTGCATTAGCTCAATTTAGGCCAGATTATTTTGAAAATAGCTCCAAAAGTCACAAGTAACAAGATAAAGCAAAATTTAATAACACTGGTCTTGCAAAAGTCAAAATATATACTAGTTGAAGCAAACCTCTACGTTAGTAAGAAGTTCAGATTTAGATGGTAACCAATTATGGCAGCAATAAAATTATTCCTTAGCTGGTAGCTGTTTCAGTCAATACTAAGTTTAAAGAAGTGGAAATGACAATGTTTTTTTCTTTTTAAATTTTAACTGTCTAGAAAGATTATGAAATACGTAACCTTTCTGTTAAAATTAAAAAACAAACAAACAAAAACATTGTCATTATTTATGAACATCATAAGTGTAGACGAAAAAATTGTTAATTAATTTTTTTAACGGATTATCAACCCTTTCTGGATTATTTACAAGCGAATGTGGATTGTAAGAATAATATTTTTTTTTGCGAGTAAATATTAAATTAACGATTTTCTGAGAATAACATGGGGATTTCTAGATACAAGACTTACTATTTACCCCATAGCTAACGAAAATAAACTCGTTGGTATTTGTGCGGGAGTGAATGTAACGAACCCAAACTGGAATTCGAACTCGGATCACCGATTTCTCATTCCGAGCTGCTATCCGTTACACCAACCGCACATTCAGGATATGAAAGAAAAAAGATATTCAGAATGTTTCTGTTAATTTTCTAATGAAAATATTTTCTGAAAAAAAAAAAAAAATAGAAAATACATTTTCAGTAAAATATGGTTCAGAGAAATTGCTTATCAAAAGTAGAAACATATAAGAAATAATAAAAGAGCAATTATAGTTTCAAACAGAAAGATAGCTTCAAAGTCGCCCAACCCACGATTTTGTGGGTGCGTCTTACCTTCCAGAGAAGAACGCCGACCAAAATTAGAAAGAGGAGTCCCACTAAAATGCTGCAAACAACAATCCACCATTGGATTTTCTTTTGGAGTCGACTGATAAGGAACAATGTGGTGGCCTGTAGTCAAAGAAAAAAATATACAGATTTGGTGTTGAAATAAGTCAATAAGTATGCTTAGAAGAAAATAAGCCGTAAATATGAAAAAATAATTCAGTCTATTTTATTATGTTGACCCACAACATAACAGTAGTGGATGAGCCTTCCCAATAATGACCTATATTTTTCTTCTGTTACAGTTAGGGGCTTGGTCACAGTCTGGCAAAATGATGTCTGACATGAAAGTGCTTACGAATCGTGTCACTAAATTGTAAAAGGGGAAGCTTTATATGCAAAACTAGGATATCTGTAAGGTTAATGTTTACGCAGAAGTCTTAGATTACCTATACTTGCATCTAGTCTCACTCTATAATATTGCAGTATTAAAAACAAATTCTTATGTGGAGGTTTAGAGGAACGTGGGACAACTTCTTAATTGCTGTTGTTTCCAGGTACACTCTGACCAGGTGCTACACCTCTTAGGGTCCCAGCTTTCAACAAATAATAAGCCCCCAAACAAAAAGAAAACACAATGAAAGTATAAAAATTCATTTTTATGGAAAAAGATAACAGAAATACATTTTTATATAGTATAATTACCAACAATACTTATTTATAGCAAAATTACCAACAATAAATTTTATAGCAAAATGACCAACAATACATCTTATCTGCAGTTGAAGGCATACAATTGCTTTCAAAATATTTCAAAAGTTGAAGTTTTGAAATTGTGTTTAAATATTTAGATTTTGGCATTTAATAACCCATAGAGATGTTGATATGCCGCTAAACAAAACCAAACAAAAATAACTTATATGTACCCATTTAAAAAAAAAAAAAACTACAACATAATTAAGAACAAAGTACATCGATGCTCGTTCATGAAATGGTAACAGGCCAGAGAATTCAAATGTTTTATAGCGATGTTTCTTTTGCTAATTTAAAACAAAAAAATGTTTTAATTTTTTTTATCATTGCTCCCGAATCAAGGCAATAAAGCCACTAGGACGCAAGGGGTTACTGCATGTGAGTGAATACGAGAAAAAGAAAACATTAGCAAAGAAAGAGAACACGAAGCCCTTGTATGGAGTAATGCAACCATATATGGTCCGGTGCCCCTTCTGTTCGTGTCAAGGTTCTTGATAAGATCCAGAGACAGATATGCAATGTAATTGACCCTGATCTGGCATCTCGTCTACAGTCGCTCGCTTACAGATGTGCCGTCGCCCCCCTCTGTCTTTTTTTACAAATACTTTCATAGCAACTGCTCCGATGAGCTGCTTTCGCTGGTTCCCAGACTTCATAAATTTAAGCGTTCTACTAGGCTGGCATCTCACTCACACCCTTTCATTGTCGAAACTGTTAAATGTAGCCGTCTCTTCTACTCCAATAGATTCATGTCTCGCACCTCTCGCCTGTGGAACACCCTCCCCTTTTCCTGTTTCCCTGATAGCTAAAATCTTCAACTATTCAAATGTAATGTCAATCGACGTCTCCAGATGCTTTGATCTATCCCATCTTCTTCTATTCATCCTTTCCTCTATCACTTCTCTTTGCTCTCGCTTCAACTCTCTGTAACCCCTTGCGTGCTAGTGGCTTCCTGCTTTGCTTGGGGTGAAACGCTTAAAAAAACAAAAAAAAACAAAACAAAACAAAAAAAGAACATGAATAACGATCGACATTGAATTTAAAGTTTTGAAGCTCAAAGTTGACTGGAAAGATTATTGCCGGAAGACATTTCCACAAGTGAGAAGTGCCAGACAAGAAACAGTTTGCAAAGAACTTGTGGTTGCATTGCAACTGTAAGATGATGGGACCTTACTGCCAATCTGGCACTGCGCTCAAATTGATAAGGTCTCGGTACCACGGGTAAAAACTCATCAGAACAATTACCATGAAAGTATTTACAGAAAAGGCCCAGGGACGCAAAGTTATGGAGGAGGGAAAAGGGACTGAAGCCGATATGCCAGGTTAGGATCAATACCATTGCGCATCCTTCTTTGTATTTTATCAAGAATCTCTAAATGCATAACGGAAACACCAGGCCAGATGTGGCAGCAATATTTAAAGAATGAACGAATTTTAGACTTAAAAACTTTTTAAAAGATTTAAATCTTTTCTTTATTACCAAATTATCTTACATTTGCATGTTCATGATGAACGTTGATGACCTGCTTGCTCACCGTGTGTCTCAATGTGCCATTAGTGACCACGTCGAACGCTCGCAGTTTGCTCTGTAAATGTAAATAAAAAATTAGATTAGAGATCCTCATTTCTTCATGCCTGTGTAAGTATAGATTAGTGCACTATTTTAATAAACCCAACGAATCAAAATATATCGTTCAATCCCAAATATCACGTCATTTGAAAAGAATTTATCTGTGTTTGACATAAAAATTGTTACAACTACTTCTAAACGATAAATGGCTTAATACAAAACAAAATAATAATAAAAATCATAAAACTTGAAGAGTTAATTTACTCACATGTAATAATCGTAACAGGGAATACATCGGTGAAATCTCAAGAAATCGAAAGAAAAGATTATATAAACAAAAATGAGATGTTTTACAAAATAGTACACTAAATGAATTAGTTGATCACCGTAAATTCATCTGATCATAATTTTGATTTAATAAATGCTACTTTAATCAAAGGAAAAATCAATTTACGAAAGTGTACAGAAAATGGTTTAATCGCGGGATCATTCACTGTAAATTTGTGTAGATCCCAAACTACCGTCAGTCACGATGAACAGATGTCTCCACGAAGAGGTACCGTACCTTGAGAAATTATTGCCCTCAAACTCACACCCGACCTCAAGTAAGACTCTTATATACGATCCATAGCTAAAGATGCAGGTAAAATGATCGGCTCCCTATACCGCTCTTGTAAGTACCTGACTCCCCGTGCTATCCTCTACATTTAGAAGAGCCAGATCAGGCCGAAAATGGAATGTTGTTGCCATATTTGTGCGGGAGCTACCCAGACATCATTTTCCAGCCTTGATAGAATTCAAAAGCGTCTCCAACTCCTTGTTGAAGAAGAATTATTTTCCAACCTTTTTTTTTTTTCCACAGGCGGGACGTGGCTAGACTCTCGTTGCTCTATTGCGATTTCCACGGAAAGTGCTCGGACAAACTACATTCCTTGGTTGGTAACTTTCATATGGACATCAGATAAATTCCAAAACCTTTTTTTCTTACTGTCTATTTGCTGCCAATAATGTTTTTTTTTTCTAAATTAATATATGCCAACACTTTTATTGCGTTATGCTGGCTTCGAATGTCAGGGGACGTAATAGCACCTCGGAACGCGAAATTGGCGAACCAAGTTCCAATTCCAGACAAATTCGTTACATTAACTTCCACGCAAATACAGTCGGGAAAAGTATGAATCTATCTCTTCTTCCCAAGGCTATGGGTTAAATAGCAGCGTAAATTAGGCTCACTGACAGCCAGTTTAGGAGAAGGTGAACTCTGAATTCAAAACCAGATACATTCCTGGCGTAGCGCATAGTCAATGAAGTTCACAGTGCCTTTATAATCTCAACTGTGGTCACCCTATGACTGTATAAATGTATTATCATCATCGTCATTGTCATCGTCGTCATCATCATTGCATTGATTTTATGCATTAAGATATAGAATGGAGAATTATCTGACCATAGACAAACGTATGGTTGTAGTGTTCCAATCCATGCACCCTAAAGCATTGGATGATAGAAAGGCTAAGTGAAGCAAATACTCTAAAAATGCTTGCTGAGTGCAAATGTTTTATCAACACTCCCAAATCTTACTAGATGCTTCATAATTAATTCATATTTTATTTATGTTCAAGGATGTGCGGGTGGTGCAATGAATAGTGCCACGGAACAGGAAATTCGCGAGTTGGGTTTGTTGCAGTCACTTTCCCGAAAATAACGTTGGGAAAGGTATGAATTCATCTCTTCGTCCTCCCCACTTATAGGTTAAATAGTTATGTCGATTGGGTTCTGCATAATCGAGTGGAAACCAGCCTAGGAGAAAGTCAACTCTGAATTCAAAGCCATATGAATCCATGGCGTAGCGTATACAATGCCGTCATTGACAAGGTCATGGAATCCTCAATGACTATAATCTTAGCTGCGATCAACGCACGACTGCTTCGCTATTTTCTTCTTCTTCTTAAAATTATTATTATTATTTCCTTTGATTTCTGGTGTGTACTCATTTCTAAGGTCAGAAATGGCATCATGACATTTTTCCACTGAGCAATTTAAAAAGCAAAACAAAAATACATATATTATTTAGGTTTGTAGAGTAGAAATGGAAGGTCTCATTAAATAATGGCGAACTTCCACAGGCAGACACTGAAGGACATAAGTCATTTCCTCCGGTTTTATATAAACAGCTGAGTCAGTGGTCAATTGTATTTTTGTATTTGTATTACATTGATACGAGAAGAAAGTAATTCAGAATTACTACTACCATTGACGTGGTTATTTTGCAAGTTTCAAATTTATTCAAATAGTAAATAGTAAATCTTCATTGCCCGATTTGCCATCAAAGCCATATTTTCTTTATATTCAGTAATTGTCTGATTCTCTTCTTTTAAGCGATTTACTAATTCTTCGATGATTTTTCTTAACAAAAAAATAAAAATAATATTTGCAGTATCCGTCTTAACTTTTCGAACCCGAGAATCAAATGACAGCATTTTTTTTTTTTGCAAACCGGACCGGAATAGCAGTTTCAAGTCGTGAATAAAATTAAATAGAAAAGTGTTTTAAATATTTTCATCCAATAAGAAGCTTCTTTAGCTAAGAAATATCGTATTTTTCAATTTAAATTGAAAATAATGACAATGGTCACTGAGGTTAACAGGTTTCCACCTAACATTCACTCTTTTAATACACACAAACCTCTCAATAAAGCAAATCAAATATTCATTACTTAAGTTGGTCATTCCTCAGCGAAACACATGATCCATTCACATCATTACTACGAAGCGCTTAATGCCAACATTAGGTAAAACATTTCTAAACTATTATTAACTGTTTTTAACTATCGTATTTTTTACAGTTCAGTGTATAGTATCACAGATATACGTTGTGGTGTAACGGATATAGGCTCAGGATAATAATTTGGAGAATCGAGTTCGAATTCCAGTCGAGTTCGTTACATTCACTTACGCACAAATGCCCTTGAGTAAGGCATGAATCCATCTTTTCTTTGCCGATTTATTAGTTCAACAACTGGACAGACTGGGTCGTATAGACTTGGTTGAAAACCAGTCTACCGCAAAAAGAAATGGCAACCTACCGCGGGTAAAAGCATCTGCCTAGTCAGTCATGAATCGAAAGAGACATGATCATCCAAGCGTGTATCACGTAATGGGACAAAACTAACTGACTAATATAGTATCACAAGTAAAGATAAACATTTTGTTATTGTCATTATTCGTTTACTCATTTGTTCTTCAGAAGTAAAGGGCATTCAACTTTCCCAACTAAGTTAGATACTACATTGTCAAAGGAGCGCCTTGACACACAGTACCAAGCATCTTACCAGACATGTAACCAGTGGTCTGACTTAAGATGAAGAAATCAATTCCAGACAAAATTAAAAAGCTTTTAACGTATATTTTTCTACGGCACGAAATGGCGTTATTATTTCCTTTTGTTAATATAAAAATTAGTTTTATTTAGTACCAACCTGAAAATCTTTTAAAAGTTTTGCATCTATGTTCAAAGTAAGTTCGAAAACCTTCATATTGAAAATCGTAAGGATACTTATTTCACACACAATCCGATGACATTTCAACCAACTGCAATTCTGAAATAAATAATACGAAAAAATATATGTCTATATCTCTGAGATATTATGATTACTTGCATTATTTACATTATTCGGGCTGTTATTCTCATCTTCATTACCATATTCACAATGTTTCGGATGTTGTACGCTCCGGCCTTCTTCAGGTGATTGGAATCTTAAACCGAACCCTTTATTTTGTCCACCGAGGTAGATTGTTCTAGTTCCACGCGACATGCCTCTCCCGGGTATCACAGTTATTTCTCTTTAATTCAACTCTCCAAGTTTTTTTGATTCACCATTGCTGTGGCCTGGTATTGAACTCACAACTCTTTGGGTCTAGTCACTGGATCTAACCAACGTTTTCATCCACTGGGCCATCTGTCCTCAAGGATAACAGTCCGAATAATGTAATACGAAAGAATGTTGCATGATATACAATGAAGAATAAATGCACATTTCCAAGAAACTTTTGATAATATTTGTTCAATATTTTGTATCTTTTTGAATACATTCTGATGGAACCAATTCCAAGTCAATATACACAGAACAATCCTTGAAAACGAATGTAGCAACCTTCGAAAGTAGCCGGAAAAAATAATATGAAATAAAAACAAATATGAACGTAAGAAAATTTGCCGATAATATAATAAAACGTTTTCGGAAATTTGAAAATTTAATAAGAAAAAACTGATAAAATTTATCGGTATTATTTAATGAAACATGTTTGATATATATATATATATATATATATATAGAGAGAGAGAGAGAGAGAGGGGGAGGAGGAAGGAAAAAACAAGGGAGATGAAGAGAGAAAGGGGAGAGAGAGGTGGCGATAGGGATATAGCGATTTAACAGGCAGGTGTGAACCAAACAAAAGGTTTTGGTTTCATTTGTTATTTCTAAGAAGGTACAAAAGCATCAATGCCGGCTAGGACCCGAGAAGAAACTTCAGTAGCACAATCCTTAATAGAAAGTTTAAGAATATCAATCCAGTGGGTTTTCGAGGAAAGTCACGAAATGAATCCCAATCTCTGGTAACAGAAAGGATTCTTGGGAGTAGGAGGTTCCTTTCTAATAGACGACGCAAAAGAAATATCAATATATGCTACAGCGTGATTCGAATTGCCAAGAGGGCAAACTTACGACGATCGTCAATAGCTAGGGAGAGGAAGAAAGGAACAAATCAAGTAAAGAAGCTGAGAATAACCTTTTCAACCACATGTTGACTATCGACAGATGAATAACTCGTGTACATGAAACTTTAAGCCGCGGGTATACAGTGAAACTTAAGTATCACATTTTAATATATATTGTATTTTGTATATTGCTCTATCTCTTTCTCTCTCTCTCTCTCTCTCTATATATATATATATATATATATATATATATATATGATAAAATATAGTTTTAAGGTATGTTATATTTATGGATCAAAGTGCTCAATATCAGGGATAACATGTATGTAAATATAAAATATATGGCCTGACGATTGCATTTTTCATGAAACACACTGTCGCCTCTGGAATCATTGGCAAAACATCGGCTAATTTCCAATCGATTCGAACTTTATAAAATGGTAAATAATAAGGATTTTTTTTATAGCTGGTTCGTATATTTTAATAATTTAGTAAATGTTTATAAATAAAAAATGTTTTCATATTTATTTCTTTATAAATTGGTAGATAATAAATATTGCATTGCATTTGGTTTAATTTTAATTGTTTTTAGAGTGCTGTAAATATAAAATTATTCTTGTAACTAATCTAATAAATAAATTGTGGTTATATTTTTGTTGCAAATTAACAAGAACAAAACATGTGTAAATTCACTTTCATTCATATATTTAGGTTTTATTAAAATTCTAATATTTTCATTTTAAAATAATAAACATTGCCGAGCGAGAAGTAAAAGTAGTTAAGATAATAACGATGTTAAGGAAAAAAACGTACTTTTTACCTTAAGTATTTTTTTTTTTTTTTTTGCGAACACGAAGTTCCAAGTTTGGCTAAAAATGTCTTCTACATTTAGGTAATTAGAAACTAAATTTACTGTCCAAAATGAAATTGAATTTTGTAATCCGCTAAAAACATAAATAATAAATCCACTAATAAACAAACAAAAAAATATTAAATCTTAAAAAATCGTAAAAGAAATTAAAAAAAGAAGAAAAAAAAAACAAACAATCTCAATCAATGAAAATATGCCGCCAAAGACATTACCGCAATATTTTTGTACTTGAGTAGCGACTTAATATCAGTTTTAACGTCTACTCCTGTGTTTTCCACTGTATTTAAATGACAAACGCTCTTATTTGATTCATGAGGATGGTTTGTGTCACGCAACTGTAAAAAAAAGAAAGAAAAAGCGAAATTAAAAACATAACAACGAAATCATAATAATCCCGACAGCTTTGAATTAGATATAGTGTAGTGATGAATTATCTCCCCTGATTTATAAACTCAGTTCAGTAAATAAATACTAGTATCAAATCCTAAGTTAATATTTCTCAGTCAATGAAAAGCAATACATGCGAACCTAACAGAAAGTTGAATATTTTGTATTGCATACATGACCCAGTATACACTCCGTTATTATTCCAGCTATTTCTTTATTTAATGGGAGGATGACGTCAATTTTGGTAGTAGTCATAGGTAGAAGACCAATTGTCATGGCAATTACGTCAAAAGGCATGTGTTTAGAAAGAAATCGAATCGATTTTACAGAAAAAATCGTTGTAATATTAAGCAAGGAAGTCCTTTCTTGTTCCTTAGTATCATAATAATGTGTATCAACACGTTGAAACGACGGTTCTCACACGATCACTGAAGTTAACGTCAAGCCTAGTCAGTAACTAGATGGGTAACCGCTTGGGAATACCAGGTGCTGTAAGCTTGGATGAGCGGGTGGTGTAAGGGATAACGGAGGGTCGAGTTTCAATTCAAGTTCTATTGGCTTATGCGCAAATACCCTTGGCAAAGGTATGAATCCGCCTCTTCTTCTCAGCCATGTGTTAATTAGCAGGGCTTATATCAGTAAATCATTATTCAATGTTCAAAGCAAGGACGAATAGTTGAAATTCCTTTGGAGGATTGGTGCGATTGCGTCTCGATTAAGGGACGAGCCTCGCGAAACGGAGTGGTTCTTGCAGCGTGTCTCACTGGCCATTGTTCGAGGTAATGTTTTCTCCATCATTGCAGCTGGCAGAGGATAGAAAATTTTTTTTTTTATTGTTACGTTGTTCTGGAATAGTCATCAATGGTCAACTGAACTTGTTTTGTTTCAATAAATCCAACAATTGATTAATTATTTAAAAAAGAAGACAATCAGCTATGTCATAGCTGCTATGAACACAATCACAACATGCTGCTCTTGTTCGGAAATTTTAAAAATCACATCCCTGGTACCTTCATTAATTAATTTGCTAAAAAGAAGAACATAAATGATTTATAAATATGAAAGATAGATCCCGATGAGTAAAATTGTCTAGCACGACACAGTGAATTAACTTTCCTTCCTGCAAACTTAACAATTGATTCAATATTCTTCCCACTTCATGTCAGCAGAAAACGTTAGTCTGAGAAGGTGCAAGAAGTCAATCACCTGAAGGTTAGCATCTTAAACTGATCTGATTTTACAAACATGTAAGCTCGTTCTGTCTGCAACAAATTATTAATATCGATTTCACAAATTGCTAATTCCGAATCTACACGATTTATCTACTTAACATTACAAAACATTATTTTTGAATTCATTTTAACCTTACCACACCCTCAAACTTATATAGAAGTAAGGAGAGGAGCAAAAACAAAACAAAAAAAAAAAAAAAAAAAAAAAACAAAAAAAAAAAAAAGAAAAAGAAGGCAGCAGGAAATTACACAATTGCCTTTCCTATATTATTTACATTATTCGGACTATTGTCCGAATTCTTTGTCGCCATATTTATTACAGCATTTTGGCCGTTGTATACCCCGGCCTTCTTCAGGTGGTTGGAATGTCGAACTGAACCCTTTATTTCGCTCACTGGGGTAGACTGTTAACAGGAGATAACTGATAACTGACACCCATTAAACATGGCACGTGGAACTAGAACAGTCTACCCCAGTGAGCGAAATAAAGGGTTCCGTTCGACATTCCAACCACCCGAAGAAGGCCTGAGCGTACAACGGCCGAAACGTTGTAATAAATATGGCGACAAAGATGAGGACAATAGTCCGAATAATGTAAATAATGTACATACCTCATCTCAGAAATATAAACAAATGCCTTTCCTGTGATGTCATGACAATTCACAGATTTTATTTAATTCTTTTTTATGCTAATGTTCACCCAATACAAGGCCAAAGAGACACTCGAGGTAGTGGGTTACTGTGCAGTGATGTATGAGCATAAGAAAAGGCAAGAAGTGCAGTTCATGAGGCTATATAGGAAAGATAACCGTTGATGCAGAAAAGGAATTCGTGGCGAGCCATGATCAACTACGCCCTGAAGAAACATGGTATATAAAATAAAAAAAAAAAATTTAGTTAACAGGACAAAGGTAAATGAAGAAAATGTTTTCCTTACCCGATATTCCTTAATGGTCATCAGAGGTGAGTTGTTGATGATGACATTCGGGATATCAAGTGAAAATATTAACTTGTGCGCATTGCTGGGTCCATTATTTCTCAGTTGATACGAGTGCCTCGCGGTCATAGGACTAGCGTCTCCTCTAAACGCTAGAGTACTTGGTACTGACATTCTAAACATAACATTTTCAACAAAAGTCACTTCAATTTCTATATATATATATATATATATATATATATATATATATATATATATAGGGGAAACAAATATATTCTTACATATACAATTTTTAATCCGTTGTATTTCCTACTAAAGCATAAACATACTTTTCATATAATATACATAGATGTATAATAACTAAATATGCATAGAAAACAGAAACAATTTTGAGTTAATAGAAATAAGTACCATTTATCCATTTTAATGTGTTAGAGATTATTCGTACAATGCAAATTTCAGATTTTAAAACTTTTAATTGTTTTAATACGCTAGATTATTCAAGTGGAATATTCTAGAATGTCCCAATAATGTTATCAATAGCAATTTTTAGCCTAAATTTGTATCTGTACGAATATTTGTTTTCTACCACTGTATGTATATATATTGGGTTGGTCAAAAAGTTCGTTCGCTTTATTAAGTAGAAAATTGACTTCATAACCGAATGTACTTTTTTGGCCAATCTGATATATATATATATATATATATATATATATATATATATATATATATATATATATATAAAAAAATAAACTTTGATTCAAAATTTATAAATTTTCGAGCGAACTTATATTTGCAATAAGTAACGTTACATTATTTGGGGCGAATTAACAAAAAACATCCTATATAATTTTTTGCTTTTTTTTTCGAAGGAAAAATAGCAACAAATCACGAAAATGCGTCACAATTTTCTCCATTTTTAAACGATTTAAAATTTACAACCAACACCTGAATCGTAAAGAAAGACACGTTAAAATGTATATATGCAATTAATTTCAGTGTGAAACAAAATCATGTTTTGCAAAAAACTACAAACCTTTGTTCCAACCCAATAGAAGTATAAAATTACTTTTTCGACTTAGCGACTTCTGGAGTTAGACTGTAAACATCCAGAATATTATAATTTCTTACTGGAATTTGTAAATGTCATTTGATGCCAACGAAATGCGGACAGAGAAACAAAAGTTTGGATTCGATATGTGTTCTAAAAGGAAATAAAATACTCACGCTACCAACTCCAAGTCGAATTCTTGGTAAACTTTTATAGTTAAATTCACAGTATTTATCAAATACTTTGGTTCCACTTGACTCTCAGTACTAGCGTTCACTGCTATAAACGTTTTGGTCACATTAGCTGTCCTGCAAAATTCATAATAATAAAAAAGTGATACAAATAGATGCAAATCTATAGTATAAAAGAAAATCAGATTTTGTTCGTGACACACTGTCACGCTTTTCATTGCGCTTATTAGAGCAGGTCGATTTTGGAAGCGTGGTATTACACTCAAACTGAAGGTTGAGGTTTGACATGATAAAAAACGACACAAAATATCCCCCCTCAATTCATTGCCGCTTTTTGAGGAAAATGAGTTTAATCCTTTGAGCCCTGCGTCCCTGAACAATTTTAACCCTCCTACCTGAACTCCTGGGTCAAAATTCGCAAATAATTGGTATGTATTTTTTTAAAGCATTTCATCCCAAGCAAGACAGAATGCCACTAGCACGCAAGTGATTACCGAGAGTGGAAGCAAGAGTAAAGAGGCATGATAGAGGAAAGGATGAAGAGAAGGACGGGAAATTAGATCAAGGCATCTGAAGATGTCGATTGACATTGCATTTGAATAACTGAAGATTATAGCTATCAGGGAAGCAAGAGGAAGGGAGTTCCACACACGGGAAATGCAAGACATGAAGCTATTGGAGTAGAAGAGACGGCTACATGTAACAGTTTAGACAGTGATAGGGTGGGACTGAGTTTCACGGTAGATATATAAAAATTGTTTCAAGTGTTTACTCACCGTTCAACCCGTAGTTGGGCATTAAGTCATTTTTCTCTACCGCTGTTCAACCGGTGACTGGGCATTATGTAATTTTTTCTCTTCCACTGGTAAAGGGGTGAGACCAGGGTTCAAAGGATTAAAGATTAAGTTTATGTTCAAAATAGTAGCGCTGGAATTTAATTCCGGTGATCTGAGAAATCCTTACAACACAGCATTAAAAATATAATTTACTAAAGGTTTACAAATTATATCTGGACAAAATGCATGGAATAAGCACATTATTACTAAATCATTATGCCATCAAATGAGACCATTTATTTCAAAAGGAAATTATACTGAACAATTTAGCTATATTATGATGTTATATGTTATACATATGTAATTTTAAAGTGATTTTCTATAAACAATGCAAATTTAAAAAATTTTGTCTTATATATAATTCGTGGCCAGCAGTAATATGGTGTTATAAAAACTTTTATTTCTTATTTTTTTGTTTGAATGATAAAATGTCTTTGTAGGACATAATTAAGAATGTGCTGTAAAGATGAAAGGACATGAAGAACAATATAGTAAATATATTGTTCAATAAAGTTTTAGCAAAGTGAATTATAACGATTTATAATAATTTATAATAATAAGTTTTTAGTAAAGTGAATTATGTTTAATAAAGTGAACAAACTTTTTACATTAACCAACAGAATTTTTTTAAATTTATGGATTACTAGCAGTAGAGCCCGGCGTTGCCCGGGGATGCAACAGTAAGACATAGATCAAGTATCGACCATCATAAAGACTGAAAAATAAAATTGGCAACGATTATTGTTTAACGTTGACGGACACGCATGTCTTAATTAGTTTTTTTTTTTTTTTTTTTTTTTTGAATTGGTCAAACCCAAACTCAAACAAAAACATTGTTTTCAATCGTTATGAGTCTACCGATTGAATAGAATAATTTTATAAACAATTGTCTTGTAAATGGAATTTTTAAAGCATTCTGAATGTAAAAATACAGAAAAAAGTGTGCACGACAATAAGAAACACTACCTGCCAAAAAAAGTTAAGTTTTGTTGAAATCGGTTGAAAAATGTAGGAAATCCGATCCCATATATAAACGAACACACACACACACACACACACACACACACACACACACACACACACACACAACCTGGGTTTTATGATAAGTATAACTCGATATGAGTTGTCCCCTTTTCATTCTCGCGACAACGATGCCTCTTAATCGTGTTTTCAAATTGATTTCGTGCAAAAACAATAGTGTTTTTCAAATTTTGGGCGTTGTCAGAACCACCGCAAGGTAATTTTACGTAGTCCTGTGAAGTTTTGTTGAAATCGGTTGGAAAATGTAGGAAATCCGATCCAATATATAAACGAACAGGCACACACACACACACACACACACACACACACACACACACACACACACACACACACACACACACACACCTGGGTTTTATAATAAGTATGATGATTTAACAAATCTTATTCATTGATTATCTTTTTTTGTAATCCTTTACAATTTTTTTAGTTTTTACTTATCGAATACAATAATAAAAACAAAACAAAACTGTACATTCTGCTTGTGGTTGTTCATAATTAAAATTCTTGTTCGAATATATAATCCCTACAATATATCTAATACAAAAGATATCAACTTTATTTGGATTTATTCTTGAAATAGTAAAATTTTGAAGTCAGTTTGTAAGTAAAAACCTGCGGAAATTAGGAATTCCTCTACATTTTTCAGACGATGTTTGATATTAAATGCTCAGAAATTGGTAAAATCTGTGAATGTAAGATTTGGTGTCATCAAAAGAGCAACATTCACACCGAGTGCAATGTTGATTTCCTTAAAACAAGTGAAAAATTAACCTGCCCTAATGTAACATATGTGTGTATGTATGTGTTGTGTGTGTGAGTGTACTCTTGTCATTTAATGTAAACACAAGCTAAGGGTGCACATTTTTTTTTGTTATTCGTAGTTCAGTATTACTACTTTACGGTAACTTTATTTTTTTTCTTACCTCGTTTTGTTAATTTTTTCCTTTGTTTTAATATTGTCCGTTTTTATCGCTTTAATCTAATTTTGCACAAATATACAATATTCTCTTTAAATATCATGTCTGTTTAGGATGTTTGATCATCAATTGAAAATTATTATCCTTAGGAAAGGTAACAGAGTGATCTCCCGTTGCTTTCTCCCAAATTTTGAATCTAAAAATATCATTCTTCTCGACTGGTTGCCAGTAACCACACACACACACACACACACACACACACACACACACACACACACACACACACACACACACACACTTATATAGACATCTGGAAGTGGCTGTATAAGAGGATGCTGAAAAACTCTTGAGCCGACCCATTTCCCTATATTTGACGATATGCCCAAACATCAGAACATGGTTGAGCTGATAACTTTACACCATTCCATTATATTTGAATAATGCTACCATATCTGGTCTGGTGCTCCTGCTATTCATTTTGGTGTTCTTGACAAAATTCAAAGATGAATCTGCAATGTAATTGATCCTAACTTGGCATCTCGACTTCAGTCACTTTCTCACGTATGCGACTTGGCTTCCATTCGTCTTTTCTACAAATATTTTCAAGGCAAATGTCCTTTCCTCAACCCTTCCTATACACAGTCTTTTTCTCAAACTTTCGCCATCTGTAACCCCCTGCGTACTAGTAGCATTCCCGACTTGCTTGCGATGAAATGATAAAAAAAGTTTCGGCTGCATAAAACATGCCACGCTATGTTTTTATCTTTTAACCATATGTAATAAATGTCCACTTCAATTTACGTGTGTCACATGAGAGAAGGGCAAAACTATATTCTTAATATTTGCACTATCATATGGTAAATAATACACACATAAACACACACACACACATATTACTATTACTATAATTACTAAAGAAAAACCAACGATGTTAGTGTGACCAAAGACACCTTGACAGACGATCAAACACCTTAGACAAAAAAAAATCCCAAAAGAGAAAAGAACAAAGAGTGAAAGATCAAAAAGCAAGCACCAACATATGCAGTAAGATGCCCAACTACCAGACAACCCATGTAGAGTAAAAAAACGTCTCATAACATCAGTAATGGATAAGCGTTTGAAAATGTTAATCAGAGAGCTGAGTCCCAATTCCCGTTGGGTTCGTTATATTCACTTCCACGCAAATAAACTTGGGAAAGGCATGAACCCACCTTTTCTCCCCTATGTATAGGTTAATTAGTAAGACTTGTATCGCTAAACCGTTATTATCTAAAAATAATTACAATTCCTCTGTGTGTATATATATATATATATATATATATATATATATATATATATATATATATATATTAAAGAAAAACAGACCATTAAAGGTTCCATTATAATAATTTATTTCACCAGAGCCCTTTTAAAGGACGCTGGATCATCTTCCAAAAAATGAAACGAAAAATGAAATGAAAATTGATGGGTAGTGTAAGTTTTTTTAATTTACTAAACGGATTACCAAGTTTTCATAATTTATATATATATATATATATATATATATATATATATATATATATATATGATAACAAAGGAAGAAGCATTTAAGCGTGGTCGATGATCACGAGAGACAAAGACGCCAACCTGAAGGTGGTCGAAGTAAAATCACGAGGGGGGTAGGGTGGAAAGGATGACATCAATTCCTTTCATATTGTCTGATAAGCTTAATCACATTATCATTGAAAGACGAAAGGAAAACACCATATTGATACATGTTTAAATCCAATCTAGGCTTTCGGCTTACATAAGCCATTATCAAAGATGACAATTTCAATATATCACACAACACACGGACGAAACAACAATGATAGTCCGCCCTTGCTGCATGAAAAAAAAATTCAAAGCAACGACAACCCGTGTATACGAGACGCGGAAGCGAAAATCGCGTCGCAGCTCGTGACGTCACACATAACCACGCTAAAATGAAAACAAGAAGTATTAAGTATGGGAAGCTATTGGTATAAACCGATGTATTTGTTACAAATATGTAATATATATATTTCTTCTTGAAGGTACTTTTTTATATACTTACAAGCCAAGCAAGAAGGTCACAATAAAAGAACTGTTGCTATTTTCTCTCAGTGGGTTTCCAAGAAAGCAGGAAAGTTCCATCCTGTTTACAGATGTGCATTCTACAGAAGAGTTGACTGGTTTCCTGATCGACTCAAAGTCCATTAAATGAGAAAAAAATACCCTCGCCCTTGCATTATATGCGTGTTCACCAATGTTAAACACGTTTATAACTGCATTGAGTCTTTTGTCTTTACCGAGAGTGATATTTGGTGGCAAAGTTTCCAGATTAACTTTGAGTCGAGTTCTACAGATTTCGTCTGGACCACATTCAGTATTTAATTTGATCTGAAATTCAATATAAATGACCATATCAACGTTGAACTATTAATATGAAAATGGTTATCATATAATTATAATATTTGTATTCATAATAATATAAATTCAGATTTACATTTGAAGAAGCGAATTATACATAAAAAATGACGGGATTATCTATGCAACTCTACTAGAATAAGGACTTATCATATATATATATATATATATATATATATATATATATATATATATATATATATATATATATTTTATAATTATTTTTTTAAAAATACGACTCCTTCGCTACATAAGAATTGTCATGTTTCAAAAACAAGAGCCAAGAACCTCAATATAATTATTAAAATTATATTGAATTAAAGTATCAAGCCCTGTTTCATCACCAAGCGAAAATTTCCTTAATTTAGCCATTTTCAAGGATTAAATATTTTAACCGTTAAATAAGAAATAGTTTGTTGTATGTATGTTTTATAAAATGCTTCATTTTTCAAAACATGGTCAAGATAATGTGTCCATGTTTAAAGTTAATATTATTAAGTGTTTTTTTTTTTTTGTATTCTTGATCTATCAAAATTCGTAGATAATTATATAGGCCACACTACAACATGTTTGACACGCAGACTCACTCTACACCTTTCTGACAATAGCTCAATTAGAACTCATTTAAATATTCATGGAGACCTACCGGACACTATTCGTAACATACTTGTTGACAACACTAATATAATAGCATCATCTACATGAAAAAAAAAAAAAGGCTAAAAATAATGAAAGCCTTATTAATAAGCTACAGATTTCTTTTGAATAGAGTAGTGCAGTAAAATTCCCTGCAAATACACTTTCTTTGGTACGAAATCCAACATATTTAACGCTATGTAAACAAAGTTGTTTATATTTCGGCGAAATGACATACACAGAATTTCAATCGTCCTTATAGATGCATTACCATTTTAAACTACACGCACGGAATTCTGGGAAAGCTATCTGTTGGGAAACAGCGAGAACTTATTCAAGATCTTAATAGTTTAATTTTTTATGATTCATGCACTCAGGAATATTTTAAGTTATTGTTTGTTTCACGTTTTTGAGTTTATTTTAAAATATTGTAAATGTAGAGGGTATTAACACGTACGATTTATTAAACTATCAATGATGGCTATTTTGTATGTGTGTAGAGATTCACACCTGTAGTTAAGTAGGGATGGGTTTTAGTTGGTTCCTTTCCATTCTGAAAAAAGTTTGAAATTTTTCATTTTTCTAATAAAATTGGTAGGTCAAAAAAGTGAATTCTCTTAATTAAGGATTGAATTATTATTTAAGATATTTGATGTCATCCATTTTAAGGTTATTCTCTGATATGATTCGTACGTTCCATGAGTTTTGTTACATTTTTTTACTCGAGGTGTAGCAATATTATTTAGAACGTTTATTAGTTTGGTTTGGTTTGTTCTACGGTATATCAATCTCAATGGGTTGTTTAATGCCGACAAGATTTTTATTTTCCAAAAATGTATTGCTGGGAATATTTTTTTTTCAAAAATGTATTCCTGGTAATAATTTTTTACAAAAATGTATTGCTGGTATTAAAACATATTTTTACACTTTCTTAATGTTTTGACCCCAGTGTGGGTGTCAAGTAATTGTCCATAGCTCGTCATGGTAGACCTAGGAACACCAGCAATTAAGAGGTGCTCCCATGTCCCTCAAAACCTCCTAATCAGCCTTGCTATTTGGTATAGTTTATCACCTTACCCAGGACGTGGATGTAGTTTATAGTCTTACCCAGGACGTGGATGTAGTTTATAGTCTTACCCAGGACGCAAAATATAAATCAGAAATCAAGGAGTTGGATAACAAAATTTAAGTAAAAATATTTAAAAAGTCGCTTATTTTGGATTTTTGAAAATGATTTTAAGCTAATATTTAATTAATTAATTATTTATTTTCCTTTTTTTAAAATTTTCAGTGTCCTTTTATCATTTATAATCATTCGAATTCAACTTTTACTTTTAAGAAAACAGAAATGCGCATGCTCAGAATTACTTATCAACAACAGATAGAAAAACGGAAAAAATCAACACCTAATAATAAAGTATAATAAAGATTCTCTGACAATTTCCGTTTTATTTTACTATCTTTTCTCAAAGATTGTACAAAGAACGTACTTACCGTTTCTGAGATCGTGATGTTATTGGAAATAGGGCACAGTGGCATGCAGTGGTTAGAGTAACCTTGATCATTCAGACTGCAGTGAAGGGTAAAGTTTATTGGCGACAGAATATCCATTGTGCTCTGTAAATTGAGAATTAAAAATACAAATTCGGAAACAAAGTGTAGTTTATATCAACAGAGATATTTTGTAGATCGATATTATTTAGAGTTCTATTAATTCAAGTTTCTTCTTCATTATGAACACGTGACCGAATGGTTAGACCGTTCGCATACTGACCATGAGACCCGGGTTCGAATCTCACTATGGTCGATTTGTCAGGAATGGAGAGGTCGATCCCAGGGTGCGACACCTTTGGAAAATGCCTGAAACCCTACCACGGGTTGACCCAAGCCTTGTCAATGAAACTGGGTAGACGGAACTCTTGGGGGTCGTCGATAGTTGTGCTAGCACAAAGTCACAAGTCATCGTGGCCGAGAGCCTGAGCGTGCTGGCCTTGTTTAAATTGTTGATTACGCTAGATATCACGCTCTTTCCCAGAAACTGAAACTAAGGTCTGCTCAGCATAGTTGCAGTATAAACGACAGGTGGCCTCTGTGGGTGTTGAATAAATACAAATTCGCCTGAGCAAGCGTTTGCAAAAAGGGATTGACTAGCCACCCTAGTAAAGGGGTGTCCTCGAATACGTGGCCACTATACATTATTTGGATGACATTTACCTTAAGTTTATATCTTTTTTCTAGGAGAAAAAAGGCTTCATAACAGAATTAGGATCGGCAAGGAGAGTGCAATAGTGAAAATATTGTGACAATAAAAAAGGCAGAGAGTTCGACAATAAGTCATGATGATTGATAAAGCCCATCATTCTAAAACAGCCGGTATTTACTCGACCTCACCACACCACAAGGCAGGATGTAGCACAAGGCTGATTTTTATGTGTGGTGACCCGAGCCCGTAGGCTCGGGCAAAAATTCCCCTTAGACCTCGCATACATGCTGTCGGGTTTGTATATCTCCCCAGACGATACTCTGCCATTCAACATAGCCTCGTCTGGGTCCTCTCTGCTTTCGGGCAGAGAGTTCGACAAGTCTTGATGCTTGATCAAGCCCATCAGTCTAGAATAGCCTCCCTATTGCTCAAAAGGCGCTTGCTTATATTGGCGTCATTTACCCACTTCTAGAGCCTTGCACGTGGACGGGTTAATCCAGTAATGTTGGTGGGTACCGGTGTCGTGTCAAAGAACGTCCCTCGATACAAAATCAAGTTTCCTAAGAGTTCAAATAAATTGTGTGTCGTATCATATCAAATGATTTTGCATTATCTATGAAACATAGGTAGACATCCTTCTGCATTTTTATTGCTCTCTCTGACATCATTCTGTTCTTGTCCTCTTTTTGCTCTCATAGTGTTTTATTCATCGGAGGATAATCTTAGATATGTGACTTATAAGCTGATTGTCCAATGAACCACATATTCAAACGACACTGGGGATTCAAAATGGGGACACATTAAGGTAATCACTGGTGACATCGGCTAACGATCTCATCTCAAGGAAAGAGAGTTAAAAAATTAAGTAAATGACAGATTAAATTTCAAGATGCGACAGCAAACAATGCCAAGGAATGGTACAGAATATAGAATATTAAGTACAAATATTAGAAACAAATACAGACAGGCAATAGAAGAAAGACTGACCTGCCTGACGTGCTGAGAATATTGTTAATACTTTTATGAATTGTTTACATTTGTTTTCTTTGATAAAGATGTTCTTGGCTGTAATATATACTTACCCTGATGAAAATTTGGTAAACCTTTTCGAAGAAACCTGATCGCACTGTCACTGATTCTGTGATCTCAGATTGTCGCACGTTACCTTTAAAATACGTTCGCTTTTCCTCTGGAGTCTTTAAACTATCTGTTATTAGATTCAAATCATACACTGAAAAAAAAAGAGAGAATACTAAAGACTTTGTCAATATATACAATTTTTCCTTATTCTTCTGTTTACGAACGAATTTCAACGTGGCATCTCTGTATGTTTTCAAATCAGTGGAGTTTTCCGAGAGGAGCGTGACTAGATTATTCCTATGAATTTCATTGCTTATTGTCCGTTTAGTGACACAGATTTCTGATGAAAGCAAATCATCCTGCGACTCTTAACGAGTAACCATTTTATTTTATTTTTTAATTTGACGCATTAATTTTCTTGAAGATCTTGAAGAAATCTTCCGTGGAGCAACTGTTTTTCTTTGGTTTTCAACAGTTTTGAGTTTTTTTTATACCTTACGATGAATGGACTAATGGTAGTAAATAAAATATTCAGGTTGTCTGAGATTTTCCTGTAACTTTTACCTTCTTTCCAGAGCTTAACAATTAATTCTTTTTGCGAATTTGTCAGTTCTTTACCTCTTGCCATGATGATAACCTTCTTGCACGAATATCAATTAGAGAATGTTGTTTTATATTTTAGGCGAAAAATAACTATTGGTAACATTATTGGAACATTCTCACTTGAATAATCAAGAGTATTAAAGCAATTTAAAAGATTTAAAATTTGAAACATGCATTGTACGAATACTTTTTCACCCATTAAAATGGATAAATGGGATTTATTTCTATTAAATCAATTTTTCTGTCTTCTATGCGTATATAGTTATGCATTTGTGTACAGTTAGTTATATCAAAAATATGTTTATTCATTAGTTGGAAATACGATAAATTAAACATTTGTATGTGTAGGAATATTTGTTTCTCCCTACTGTATATATTTTTCATATATATATATATATATATATATATATATATATATATATATATATATATATATATATATACTATTTTTACAAAATATTTCAACTACAATATAAATATGAATTCTGGTAGTTATTTTAAGAAATAAGGGGGTACTAATGAAAAGATTTGAAATTGATTTTTTCTGTTTCACTTCTATATTCATTTTTTCTTTATTCCTTATTCTCACTGAAACTAAGTAGCGTCTCTTATCTATTAATTATTGGCAGGGTTTAAAGGTCGTGCTAAGCAGAATTATAAGTTACACACACACACACACACACACACACACACACACACACATATATATATATATATATATATATATATATATATAGTGTCGGAAGAAAAACTTCATAATATTTTAAATGAATTTCAAAGACAATATTTCGATGTTTTCAAATAGATTTAATTAACCATATATGTGCCATTTTGTCTCATTATATTTTACCATCTTTGAGATATCTTCCTGGTGAGACATTGTCACAGATATGTTACCTATTGTGATCACTATATCTTACAGCACGTGACTGTAAGCCCGTGGTTCTTTCACCAATTTTTAGTACATCTGGTAATAGTTGTAATAGCTAGAGAAGGTGCTTAAACGATTTTTAATTCACTCAAGGCTGGAAAGTGAATTATGAATGAACTTTCTAACCATTACGCCATGGCGTGGCGCCGATTCCTACTCAGATTATTGCGCTTAGTCTGACAAAAACACACAAATGTGGGGTATTCAGCAAGGAACAGATTCACTTCAGGAATAATGGTTTTCAAAATTAAATTCGTAATCGTGATAAAGTATTTGAAATTGATTTTTTCCAATTCACATTTTTCTTTATTTTTTTCTTTCTTTCATTTTCTCACTGAAACCAAGTAGCGTCTGTGATATGTTTTTCCGTCTTTCCCAGCAATCAAAACGGAACGGTCCATCATTTATTAGGTATGAGCTAGAGATGTTAAACATTCATTTCTTTCTTTCTTTCTTTCTTTCTTTCTTTCTTTCTTTCTTTCTTTCTTTCTTTCTTTCTGTCTGTCTGTCTGTCACTGAAACCAACTAGTGTCCTTTCCCTTCTTTCCACGCGATCAAAACGGAATAGACCATTATTTATGAGGTGTTGACATAACGGTCTTGCAAACTAACGAAGATACGGATAAGCACAATTATAATAGGATAATTTGTTTCACCCCAGAACATTAAAAGATCTAGGTGCCTAGGAGGCTGATCTAGAACGTGACTTTTAAGGCATAAATTGATGAATCGAGCCTCAGTTAAATTTCGGAGGTGGGTATCAAGGTAGAAAGTTAATCGAGCTGAATGTAGGATATAGGCAGCCGGATGAGAGGAAGTTATATAAACGCTCAACATACAAGGGAAGATGGCAGTATCTCCCTAATGCTTGAAAGCAGACGACCGAACGTTCGATGAAAAACTCGAAACCATATACTCTTGATTTGCTGACGTTAATTTGACGGACTTCAAGAAGTGAATAAACAATTATTTTAAGTATAAAAAATTTACTTTCGTTTTCTTACCAGACGTTGCAAAAATAACCTTACAAGATAATTTTCTGTTGATTCCAGTAGTCGATGTTTGAGATCTGCTAAAAGCTAAGAATTTAAATGCTGCTTTTCAAGGTAGCAAGGCCATTCTAATTTGAAAGATTAAAACAACACAATTTTCTTATACGTCTTCCAACTTTCTCTATTTGGCCGAAATCTATAATAGCATTTATAATATTCAAGATTAAAACAATAGTTCGAAGATATTAAAATATATTGACAATACTTTATCTCAAAAACAGAATACAACATTTTCAAAAGCAGTGCGCCAGGATAAGTAAATGTCGGAACCATTTGACAGTGGATTTATACTCCAAAAATGCACTACTTAGGAAAGGTGGCGTAGTGGATATAGAACATGTGTAACTGTCATCTAGTGACTAGGAGTTCAATATCTGAAGCAGGTAGTGAAACACTGATTCATCATGAACAAACAAGAATTGGCATTACAAAGATAAAATAGCGCAGTCGATAGATATCCGGTACAATGGACATCTGAAGATGACCAGAAACGTTTTTTATCTGAATTTCTGGAATGGAGATTTATAATTCTTTACACTATTTATATTTGGTCTACTGTGCTTTTTAATCATACCGTTTTGGTCATTGTACTCTCCGGTATTCCTCAGGTGTTTATCAATCTGGTTAACCTACAAGGAATTCTGAACTGAGCACTTTATTTAATCTTCGGAGGCAGACTGTTCTCATTCCACTGTTGATGTCTTGAGATATCGTCGTTCTTATTTTATTAAGCACTGTTCAGTTATTGCTTGCCCATTTTCATTGAGTGCAAGTAAACACTGCCAGAACCAGGGATTGAAATCTCAACCACTAAGTCACCAAATTCACAATCAAACGCTTTTACCTTCTAGACTTACTAGAAAATGAAATCTTGTTAATCTCCACGAATCTGTTAAATATGGCAAGTTTTATTTAGAAGGAGAATTTACCCGTGTCTTCTTTTATTCCGAGGGTCAACTTTACAGTTAGGTTGACGCATAAGACTCGTCGGTCGTTGAGGATACAATTTGGCGCCATATCTAGAATACGTTCTGAAGCGGTCAGAGATGCTTTCAGCTCATATGTCGGACGGGCTTTGAAGATATAAGCCGAATCTGACATGTAAGCACCAACTCCGATATCTGAAAGGAGAAATGAAGAAAAATAATCATAGCGTATAATTCATGATATAGATATTTCTACCATAACATAGCAAGCAAGTTCATCTTGCCATCTAACTTTCCAGTGGGATGAATTCAAGTTGCATTAGGTACTCCAATACTGTGGCTATGTAGAAGAGTAAGGTAATCATTCTATTCAAAATCGTTTACAGGATCTTGCGGGTAAAGACGTATTTTTCACACTGCAGTCTCTCTCTTACAGACGTAACACTGATTGATTCGTTTTTTACGGCTTATCAACCGTTAACATTTTGCTGGTTATTTAAAGCCATAAATATTTTTAGACTGTAACAATCTTTTTTGAGATAATAAGGATTTAGTGTTACAAGTCTTACTAATTAACCCAATGCTAACGGAGAGAACAGCCGGATTTACGCGTAAGTGAATATAACGAACCCAACTGGAATTGGAACTCGGCTCCCCGGGTTAATGATTCCGAGCCATTATCCATATACCACCCACACATCCAAGTTTACAGCATCTGATATTCCCAAGCCGTCAAATTTTCTTGACGTTGCTTAACTTTGTTGATCGTACGGGAACCAATATTTCAACGTGATATGGCTGTCATGCACACAGATGTAATGTGTCAAGCCTGTTGCTACACCATCGGTATTTCCATTTCCTCTTCTTTCTTTATTTCTACCAGTTCAGATCTTTACCCATAAGACAAGACATGCTACTTCCACGGATTCGAATCACCCTCATTTTCTACGTATTTCACATGGAAAAGAAAGTTTAATTTTGTCAATTTCCCCACTGATAGCTACTTTGTAGAACAGACTCCAACGTGGATGTTTCACTGAAAACTACAATTTTAACCTCTTCAAGTCGTGTATCTTTTTACTTTTGCAAATTTGTAAACAATCAACATGCATCATTTCCAAGTTAGTATTTTCATCTTCATTATTTTCATCCAAACATTTTAGCCTTCCTCAGAAAATTTCACGAATAACATTTCAGCCTTCCTCAGATAATTTCACGAATAACATTTCAGCCTTCCTCAGATAATTTCACGAATAACATTTCAGCCTTCCTCAAATAATTCCACGAATAACATTTCAGCCTTCCTCAGATAATTTCACGAAGAAAATTTTACCGCCTATGTAAATCGCTCAAAGGTAGGGCTGCTTATTTTTAAACTTTAAATCGGTCTGGCATTATCCACAATTCTTCAGATAAACGTTTTGTTTGGTTTGGTTTATTTTGTTTTACGGCATATTAACACCTCAATGGCTTATTTAATGTCGACAAAATGTTTAAGATACGTTCGTATGAATAGAATAGGTATTTGTAAGAAATCAGTTTATAGATCAGGTTTTATTGACTTATTTTTGTAAAGAAGGTTTTTGTCTTGAGTCAAACGTATTGTTGGTAATAATTTTTTTTTTTAAATGTATTGCTGGTATTTTTACTATAACATTTTATTTTTATTCTTTCATAGTGTATTGACCCAGTTTGGAGGTTAACTATTTGCCTTTGGTGCTATCACCCCGGGTCAGAGTGGGCCTGGGAACAACAGCAATTAAGAGGGGGTTCCACGCTCCTCAAAACCTCCAAATCAGGAGCCTTGCTTCCGGATGTAGTTTATCGTCATACCCAGGACACAAACATTTTGTTCCTCTCAGAGTGGAGAGCGCTATCAAGTAAGAACAAAATAGAAGGGTTTATAGTTGGCAGATCCAGCCTGCACGTTGCTATTTTGTAATTTCATTGCCTCGATTCTCCCTTACCATCACTTAACATATTGACGTCATACCTGTTCCATAATCTGGTCACCTGTTAATTAAGACTTTCAAGTCAAAAATATTTAGTTTGTATTTTTGAAAACATAGAAACATTTATGAGACATTCTGGACAGAGCTTAATTTGGGATCTTTAGTCAGTTAGTATATTTGGCGTCATAGATGTCAAGATATTCCATAGAGGTGTTGATACGCCGCTAAACAAAATCAATCAATCAAAAGGTTCTAATATAGTTCTTCACTGGACATGTGTTGTCTATTTCCAACTGACATTTAGCCTTGCTCTCAATAGCAGAGTGTACGTTTTAGCTAATTTTTTTTTGCCTGTGATTTTTTTAATATCCAACTGCGTAACTGTAGCACAAGTTGGACTCAATACAAATTAAGTTAAAAGAAAACCTGTCTTTAAATCAAGCAGATGTTTTTATAACATTCAAATTGACAATCTAAAGCAAGTGGATGGTTTTCATATCTGGGCACAGCTGATTACTTTACAAAAAGACATAGATATTAAAATCACAATGACATGAAGAACAATATAAAACAATGGTTACCGGCGCCGAATGTCGAGTACAAGTTGTAAGGCTAAAGCTTATTTTCAGCATTTTTATTTTGATATATGTCAATATACAAATGTTGAAGCAGGGGCGTGATGGTTAGCAAACTAGTCTCTCAGATCATTACAAGTGAATAGTCAGTTTGATCTGCAGTGGGAGTCCCATACTTGCTATCTTATGCCACACTAAAGTAAGCGATAATACTATATAAAAAGTGAGGAATTCAAATAATAACAAAAATATACTACTATATACCATTCTTTACAACAAAAAAAACCCCTCTCTCTCTCTATGTTATGCTCCTCCGGAATGTAGATTATCATGGTCATCCACAGCTTCCTATATTCTGTTGCTTTCTGAAGTACCTGCTTTTATAAAACCTCTCTTGTTTTTCTATCCATTTTCTCAAAATTTTCAAGTTGTTTACCCGCTGCTTTCCCCCATCCTCTTACAATCGGTGCGTCCTGTGATTGTTAAATTCTTCAAGCCTTCTTTACTCGCCTTACAGTCACATCACGTTAAAACACTTATTCCCATAAGATCATTGAAGTTAAGCAACGTTGAGCCTAGTCAGATGGGTAACCACATGGGAATACCAAGTGCTGTAAGCTTGGATATGAGAATGGTGTTATAGATAACGGCTCAGAGTTGGAAATCGGAGAGCCGAGTTCCAATTCCAGTTGAGGTTCGATATATTCACCGACGCGCATATATCCTTGGGAAAGGTATGAATTCATCTCTTCTCCCTCCAGCTATGGGTTAATTAGTAAGACTTGTTTCATTAAAAATATTATCATCTAACAAAAAAAAAAAAAAAAATAGAATTATGTAAAAAATATTTAGATTTCGGGATTAAATAACCCATAGAGATGTTGATATGCCACTAAACAAAAACCTTCTTTTTCTCTTTAAACTTCCACAATAATTCGGTTGTCTCCCTTTTATTGTTAATCACAGTATCTTTATAACTTCTTTTCTTCTTATAACTTCCCGATTTGTCATATGCTCTATGTATGGCATTTTCAGTATCCGTTATTAAAACCACATCACATCAAGTGCCCTTTTCGTTTGTAACAAAATTTGGCCTATCTACGTGTCTTGAATTTACTTTGATATGTGATCTACAAGGAACGCTATACTTATTAAGAACAAAGAAACTTACTTTCGAAAGAATGTTTGGTTAGAGAGGCTGAATACTTTAATTACATTTTTTTCAATGTTATATATATATATATTATGTTATTATATATATATTATTATATTATACTATGCAGGTGTCATTCCAAATTAAGATTTGCTTGGTGTAGACATTTTAGCCGATATACACGCTGTTTATCGCTAGAATGTAAATAAAAAATAATATTTTAATTACATTTTCTTTTTTTTTTTATATATATATATATATATATATATATATATATATATATATATATATATATATATATATATATAATATGTTTTACTATGTAGATATCATTCCAAAATAAAATTTGTACGGTGTACATGTTTTTCCTTGTAGATAACGTCCAAAGTTGCTCTGAAAATTGTCCGGCTTTTGTAAAATAGGTTATTAAATATTTACATAAGAGTCCAGCATTCTTTTCGTTTCTTATGTTATTTTGCAATCTTTTAATTCTTTGCTCACTTTTTGAAAAGCAACTTCGAATTTCCGTCTTTCTCAAGTTTTAACAATAATGTTTGTTTTTCTTCTTGCTTTCCGCAACTGCTTTATCTGTGAATTCTTTCAGTTTCCTTTGAATTTGCCGCCAACACAGCATGTGTAGCAGATATTATTAATGTTATATAGTCTACCGATAATCAATATATGAGAATAATCTCGCTTTGAAATTTAAATAAATCCGGTGAGAAAACACATTCTTGTAGCTGATTTTATTAACATTACTGTAACATATGTCGATACAAGTTCGTTAATTCTATCTTCGTATCTGTTTACGAACAATCATAAAACATAAGATACGCAGAGGGAACTATATTGATGGCAAATAGTGAAAGTAAATTTCAGAATCACTTGAACCAGATAGTAAAGGAAAGCGAGAAGAAATGACTAAGCAGACGACAGAATGAATGGTTGTCAGCAAGTGAAAAATTCCAAGACGCGAGTTGCCAATTGGCCATCTTAAAATCAAACAAGTACAGAAGTTTAAATATTTGGGAATTTTTTAATAGATAACAGAAAACGTGACTCCGAAATACAAAAGCGCGTAAAGATGCTTTCCAAAAACTAAACAATATATTAAGAAATAGGAAAAGTTCATCAGAAACAATTAAAAGTGTACTGAACAGCAATGTAATATTTGTCTTCATAGAAGTTTCGAGGTAACAATGATGTGGTTCTAAAAAAGGATGCGAGAAATAACATGGACGGAGCATATCAGCAATGAGGAAGTTTTAAGAATATTTTAAATATAACGGAAAATTATATATAAAATCAAAAAGAATGAGCTGAAAGAGAAAGTTAGAACACATAATGAGAAAAAAGGACCGAAAAAGTTGACACTTATCGTATTGGGTAATCTTTTCTTTTAAATTCCATGTTTTTTGTAAAAGATTTAGAAAAAATGGATGCATTTTACCTGGGTATCCGTTTTGATCTAGGTCATCAGCCCGTGTAAAAGATATCCCAAAGGTTTTTAGTCCATGGCGCAAGTCTTTGCCGCTGATCTTCTGCGAATATGTAGACTCCAGACCTTTAAACTTGCCGTTATAAACATAGATGCAACCAGCACCATCATTTTCGTAAGGTGCTCCAACAATGATATCTAAAAAATAAAGAAAATAACATCGTTCATTTTCTATTGAATGAAAAGGAGGACCACTTTGCAAGGACCGTTGACAAAATACCTGGATGTATTTTCTCTCAAGTTAAATTCACAAGCGCACATTGTCTGAAAAACGCTTTTTCTTCATTTTCGCTTTCTCTATTCAAATATTAGATACTAGCAGTAGAGCCCGGCGTTGCCCGGGGATGTAACAGCAAGAGATAGATCAAGTATCGACCATCATAAAGACAGAAAAATAAAATTGACAAAGATTATTGTTTAACGTTGACGGACACGCATGTCTTAATTATTATTTTTTTTTTTACGAATTGGTCAAACCCAAACTCAAACAAAAACATTGTTTTCAATCGTTATGAGCCTACCGATTGAATAGAATTTTATTATAAACAATTGTCTTGTAAATAGAATTTTAAAGCATTCTGAATGTAAAAATAAAGAAAAAAGTGTGCAAAACAATAAGAAACACTACCTGCCAAAAAAGTGAAGTTTTGTTGAAATCGGTTGAAAAATGTAGGAAATCCGATCCCATATATAAAAGAACGAACACACACACACACACACACACACACACACACACACACACACACACACACACACACACACACACACATCCTGGGTTTTATAATAAGTATAACTCGATATGAGTTGCTCTCCTTTCATTCTCGTGATAGCGATGTCTCTTAATCGTGTTTTCAAATTGATTTCGTGCAAAAACAATTGTGTTTTTCCAATTTTTAGCGCTGTAAGAACCACCGCAAGGTAATTTTACGTAGTCTTGTGAAGTTTTGTTGAAATCGGTTGAAAAATGTAGGAAATCCGATCCAATACATAAACGAACAGACACACACACAACCTGGGTTTTATAATAAGTATGATATTTAAATAGTACAGGTTGTCGTGTTTCTCTTTGGGTAAAAGATGTCGCTAAGTTCGCTCAGGCGCACGTGACTCAACACACGATGTTTTACCCTGGGGTATTATTGTAGTTATACAAAAATGAAGATACCAGTTCCTCTGAAAAAAAAGTTTTGATGAAAATGAAAAGCCTGAAATAATTGCTTTTTATTTTTTTACTAAAGTTTTCTTCGTTCTGTGTGAAATGCTCTCTCTCTCTCTCACACACACACACACACACACACACACACACACACACATATATATATATATATATATATATATATTGGACCTCGTTTAAAATTGTAGAAAATTAAGCGGATGTAAGTAATATCCTTAAAAATTTCAATTCTGTACCTATAAAGACTCATCCAGAAATCGACTCTTTTTCTGCAAAAGATCGGCTCCAAATTCAAATTTCTACATTATTAACCAATCCACGACATTATCTCAGACGCCATTCGAGGTTTTGAAAAAGCAGACGACCATATTTTTGATGTTTGCTGCAACTGAAAGCTCACTCTAGAAAATGATATATAACAATATTTTTTCTCCTAAAAATAGATATTATATAATTGGGAAATATGTTTATTAATAAAGTTATGAGTTTAGTAAATCTAACTTTTAGTTTCCTTGGTCCTATATTTTCTCATAAATATCGTCGCGTAAATTGACAAAATCAGTTTTCAGTTTTTCGGTAAACCGTTGACAAGGAATGTTTTTTAAGGAATACTGATATATATATATATATATATATATATATATATATATATATATATATATATATATATAAGGTCATCCCATGAGTTCTATCCGAATTTTAACTTTTTGTTAAAATGAACGAAATTTAAAGAGTATTTTATAATGTCTAATGGAGCTGAACATTATTTTTATGTTTAGATGCATTTAAACTGATCAAATTTTATTTCAGAGAAGAGAACAATAAAATTAAATTTTGTTTGATTAAAACTCTGCTAACATGGAAGTACCCAAGAATCATTTGAGGCACATAATGCTTTATGAGTTCAAGAAAGGAAACTCAGCAGCCGAAGCGGCTAGAAACATTCACTCAGTTTATGGAGAGGAATGTGTGAATGAAAGAACTTGCAGAAGATGGTTTGCAAAATTCAGAGGTGGAGAGTTCACCATTGAAGATGAAGATCGAAATGGACGTCCAGTTGAGTTTGATGAAAAGCTTCTTGAAGCAGCCCTTGAAGAAAATCCTGCTTTATCAGTTGAGGAATTGGCAGTGGTTCTCAGTTCAAACCATACAACTGTTCATCGTCATCTTCAACAACTTGGAAAAGTTCCTAAACTTGGAAAATGGGTGCCTCCCCGAAAACAACCTCAAATCCTGAGTTGACATCTGCTCTTCTCTCAATTCTCGCCAACTTGTTTCACCTTTTTTGGATAGACTTGTGACTGGCGACGAAAAATGGATCTTTTATCGAAATGTTAAGCGTCGTAGACAGTGGCTTGGTAAAGGGGAAGGACCCTAGCCACAGCCGAGAAGGGAACTTCATGGGCAAAAGGTTCTTCTTTGAATCTGAAGCGATCGCCAAGGAATAATCCACTTTGAATTCTTACCACCTAATGCAACAATTAATGCTCCAATAATCTGTCAGCAAATAGAGCGTTTGAACCAAGCTTTGAGGAAAAAAAGACCTACTCTAGTGAATCGAAAAGGGGTGATGTTTCATCAGGACAATGCGCAACCCCACACAGCAAGAATTACCTCACAAAAGATCGAAGAACTTGGTTGGGAGAAAATTTCTCATCCACCTTATTTTCCCGATCTTGCTCATTCAGACGACCATTTGTTTCGTAGCTTACAGAATCATTTGGAAGAAACAGCTTTTGTAACACAGGAAGAGGTTAAAACTGACATTTTTGAGTTCTTCGAATCAAAGCCAAAAGAATTTTACAGTAATGGAATTAGTCAGCTAGATGGAATGAAGTCATAGATAATCAGGGAAAATTCATTGTTGATTGAATCTTTAATTAAATGTAACATTTGGTCACTTGTTTTCTTTATACAAAATTCGGACAGAACTTATGAGATGACCTGATATATATATATATATATATATATATATATACATATTGTTGTGGATTCCGGGATGAAATCCGGTAACAATGAATAACAAACGGGTTAGTAGCAAAATATCTATAAAATCTTTGGTATTGAAGTATCGCTGTATGACTTCTTACTGAGTCTACGTGCTACGCTCACGGTGACTCCTGCTCGCTACGTTCGTTCTGTCTGTTACCTTCAACCGTAGGGAACTACAAAAATAACATATCAAAATCTAATCACACTGACCCTTTAAGATGAAGAGGTATTTTTGATTTTATTTTTAATATGGATGATGACACGACTTTAGCATGGCGCATTTGACAAGCTGCTTTCTTACCTTCATACTTGTCTGAATTGAAATTTCCCGTGGCAAGGCTCTTCCCAAATTGTGCACGGTAACTGGGTTCCATAAGCACAATGTTTGCATTTTCAGAGAACATCTAAAAAGAAAGAAAGAATGTCTTCACTTTCCGCTATACTTAGAGGGCAAATATTATCTGATATAGAGATAGAGCGTCTGTAAATATAAATATAAAAGTGAACATTGAAGTCAGAACGTAGAGGCGACAGGCTGTTTCATGCTAGACGCAATCGTCAGGCCTTTATATATATATATATATATATATATATATATATATATATATATATAAAGAAATATTGTCTTAAGGTGTGCTATATTTATGGAATAAAGTGCTCAATATCAGAGATAGAGCGTGTGTAAATATAAAAGTGAACATAGAAGTCAACACTTAGAGGCGACAGTCTGTTTCATGCTATATGCAATCGTCAGACCACATATGCTGTTATTTTTCTCGGCTATTTATATATATACGGGTTAGTGGTGCATTGTGGGTATTCTATTATGGCGGTTATTTTACCGGAAGTCGTTTGTTTATTTATTTGGGTCAAATTATATTGCTCGTTTTTATTTTTTTGTTTTCTTATTTTATTTATTTATTTATTTATTAACGTAGTAAAAATTGTTTATATCACTTATTTAACAGTTTTGTTTTGGTTTGAGAATTTAATTGAAGCTATTTGTTCAATTTTTGAGGTTGGTTGTTGTAGTTCATTCTAACTATTATTTTGGCGGGAACAGTTTTTAATTTGGGATTGGTTTGTCTATTTATTTACTTGGATGAATTTAGGTCAATTTATTTGTATATTTTCTCTTTTCGGTTTTTAAGCAACATAGTTTTTATTTATTTATTTTATTTTATTTTATTTTTTTCTATGTTTTTATTAGTGTATTTGTTTTTATTTTATTTTTTCCGTTTTTCATTTTTTAGGTTACATAGTAAAAATTTATTTTCATCCCTGCATTTTGAGATGAGCTCGGATCTTTTATTTAATAATTTATTTTGGTCGGGGAAAGTAATGATAGCTATTTTTTCCTCCAAGCAAAGTTTGCAAGTTTTTGATCGGTTGTTGTAGGCTGATGACTTTTTCCTTATCTTCCAAGATATTTTTGGTGTGATGTGCGTTTTGTTTTTAATTTCCCAGATATATTTAGAAAGCATAGTACTGTTCGCATATTTACTATTTGTGAAAGATGTTTTGTGTGTATAATTTCTTTGCTTCCAGGGTCCTTCAGTTACTCCTATGTATACTTTTTCTTCATTATCTGGTGATTTTATCGTGGCTTGGTATATTACGTTGTTTTGTAAACAATTTCCGTTTAAGGGACATTCGTTCTTTATTCTGCAGTTGCACGCGGGTTTAATTTGTTCGTGTGGTTTGTTGATAATTTTCCTATTGTGCTTTTTTATTATTTGTGCCATTCTCTCGGTGCAGCTGTAGCTGATTTTTACTGTGTTTTTGTTGAATATCTTGTGTAAGGTGCTTGATTCTGGGAAGTGTTTGTGTAAGAGTTTGATCTATCTATATTAATTTTTTATGTAGTACTTATTGGAAGGTGCACAATGAGTTTTCTGATGATCGCAAAAGCGTTAACCGCAGGATTACAAACTCATATCCATACAACTGAATATATATATATATATATATATATATATATATATATATATATATATATATATATATATATAGTCACTACTTATACATGGGTGATATCTTTGAAATGTACAGAGACAACTTGAAACTGCAAATACTACCGAAACCTATATCCTATACTTTTTTATATACATATATCTTAATAATGCATTTTTATTCCTAAATTAGATATTTGCTATAAAGTTCGTGTGACGCTCATAGTTGTTGTTAGTAAGACTAAAGAAAACACTGGAAACAAAAAAAATAAGTGAAGAAGGGTTTAATCACATGAGAAACATGGATTGAGAAGACAGACGTTCAGAACGACTGAAAATAGTGCCGCCATTGGCAACCCACTTTTTGCAACTGTTTTATGAGCAGACGATCTACTCATAGCAGATGGACGAGTCCATGTTTCAATAATATGTGTAGAAATGTTTAGTCAGTCTTTATACATAACAAAATTATATTCATAAAAAAAAAGATTAACAACAATAAAACAGAACAATTCTAATAATATATTGTAATAAAAGTTTCTTCTTACCATAAATCTTTCCTTATAATGGGCACAACTTTATCCTTTTTACTTAAAGAAATATCTATGGCTTTTATTTGGAATGTCAGAATTTTCACTATCAATACTGCTTAGCATTTGGATTATTATTATTATATAAACACTCTCACCCAGCTTTACTTCGACTGGCTAGTGACCATCCCATCTTACGTCTCCACTAACCTTCTTTGTGAACTGAAAACTTGGACAGACCCGCTGCAGGTTCACAAGGAAAGAAAAGATGAAAACATGCGGCACGTCGACAAGTGAGAATACAAACCCCGATTATAAATATTATAAAATAGGTGTTTTATTTAGAGCTTAGTCTGGTTTCCTAGATAGGAGACACTTGGGGCAACTTCTGTCATGTCTGTCTAACGGCTAGGTTCTTTCCTTCTACTATCTCCCGATGAAATACATTCCTTAGTTCCACCCATCTATAGATCAGGATGTGTTGCTGGCTAGCTGAACGGGCGGCATCGGAACTATTCGAAAGATATCCTGCCCACCAACTAAAGGCGGTACATAACCACCTCCTTTGATCCCAACTGTGACTGCTAATATAGGCTACCAACTGGAAATCATCAATGTCCAGCTTGTTGTCGCTTGACCTCAAAAACCCTCATCCATTCATTTACTCTTCAGTTCCCCTTCCATTCCGCTTAGAAAACCCGACTTCAAAGATTCCATTTGCAGGCTATAAGATAGAAACATTTGAGACTGAGATAAAACCACAGTTTCAATCATAATGTCAACATTAAACAAAGTTTGAATTGTTTATTTCTGAGGTTGAACACTAACACTGCGGAAAGCGAAAATGGGGATAATTTTAACCGCTTTCTCGTCGAATCTCTGTAGAGTTAGATGTTGAAGATTCAATTAACATCGAGCAAAAGAAGGCAGTGAGAAATTTCGCGTCAAATAGATGCAAAAATAAAACCCGATATTTTGCCTACATGGAAATTATATTTAACTGGCAGTACTTGAGAAAATTTAACGGTTTTCCGATTTGAATTTTCTGATGAAATATAATTATTAAACTAATGATTGAATAAACTCCTTGTGAGTTCCATAACTATAAAATATACGTAGAAATTCATCCATTGCATCGTTAAGTATTTGCGCTTAGCAACTTTAGTAAAATATGGCGCTAATAATAAATAGTTATGACTGCAGAAGTAAGAGGGTATAATTGAAATTATTTAAAATTTGACATTTTTTTCCCATTTTCCTCACTAGAGTGCTATTGTCACCTCTACCTTCTATTTTTTTTATTTCCTCTTATTCATAATTTCTTTTTCTCACTAAAATCAATCAGCGTCTAATACGTAATTGCCCATTATTTATCCAAGTTAATGATGAGGGTGACGCACATGAGAACTTGCTAACTAACTAATGGAGGAAGAAGCAGACAATAATGAAGAAAACAATATGAACTTACCCCTTCTAAACTGTCATAGAAGTAAATGTACACTCTCCCTTCTTCGACAAATGTTTCGGAATAAAATGGAGCTCCAATTACCAAATCCTTGTAACCGTCATAGTTTAAGTCAGCGGTGGCAATGGCGGATCCGAAATAACTACCAAATGAATATTTGTTCTGTAAAGAAAAAATTGTCGATATTTATTTTTCTGGGATGTATTTGCTAGTTATTGTTGCTTATATATTTTCTCTCAAATAAGATACGTAAGGCGACATCTTTTGATGTGGGCTCGGTTTTAAAATAGTGTTCGACTTGTCCAGTACTTACATTATAATTAGTGACGTTGAGGATTTGTATCTGTTCCATAGAGAGGTTGGCTGAGAGAGATATTAGCGATGAGCAACCGTCTATTTATCTCGGGGAGCGCTGTCAGCCAAGAAAGCTATCAGTGGAATTATTGACACTAATTTTTCTTTAAAAAAATCTGTATCATTAATCATCTCGGTTTAATTACCAAGAAGGACGTAATAACAAAAGTAATACGAATTAACATAGACAATGGAATGGGAACAGCTTACACTATTTTTTTCTCTGTTCAATCTATACAAGGCCCGGGAACCACTCTAGGTAGAGGGTTACAGGGTAAGAGGCACAGTCCATGCGGGTATATGGGAAAGATAGCGATTAATTCTAGACTTGATCTGGTTAAGAGTGTAGTGATCAGAAAGCATCCTCTTGGGAGTCAGTTCCACAGAGCAGTGGTTCGCGGGAAGAATTTGTTCGAGTGGAACATACATACGAACAATGGAATACAAAGGGAATAAACGTAGTTCGCTACAATGTGCGTGGCATGGCGGGTCCTAGCCAAGAAGTTTAGAACTGGTGGAACTAAGAAAGGTATTTCATCTGAGCACTTTCCATGGAAATAGATATAGAACAGTGAGAAGCTTAGCAAAGTTTCGTCTGTAAGAAAGGGTTTATAGCGGAATAAAGAGGTTCAGTCTGAAATTTTGAGAATGTTGGGTGACTGATGAAGTCGAGAGGGTACAATGGCAGAAACGTTGTGAGTATAATCACGAAAATGGGAATAATAATTCAAAGTAACCAGTTCATAATAAGGAAACTTCATGTGTTTATTTAAGAGTAACATGAGAGAGATGCTGTGAATAGTGATCGCATTATTACGATTTTTAATTTCTTTCTCTGCGTATTGTTTTTCCCTTTAAATTATAGGATCTTTGTTAATTTGATTTAGGTTTGGTTTGTTTTGTTTTACAGCATATCAACCCCAATAGGCCATTTAATACTAACAAGTTTAATTCTGTCAATTTCCCCACTAATGGCTACTTTGTAGAACAGACTCCAACGTGGATGTTTCCCTGAAAACTACAATTTTAACCTCTTCAAGTCGTGTATCTTTTCATTTTTGTAAATTTGTAAATAATCAACATGCATCATTTCCAAGTTAGTATTTTCATCTTCTTTATTTTCATTTTCATCCAAATAATTTCAATAACTTTCCCTTCCTCAGATAATTTCACGAATAACATTTCAGCTTTCCTCAGATAATTTCACGTATAACATTTCAGCCTTCTTCAGATAATTTCACGAATAACATTTCAGCCTTCCTCAGATAATATCACGAATAACATTTCTGCCTTCTTCAGATAATTTCACATATAACATTTCAGCCTTCCTCAGATAATTTCACGTATAACATTTCAGAATTCCTTAGGTAATTTTACGAATAAAATTTTACAGCCTTTTGGAAATCGCTCAAAAGTTGGGCTGCTTATTTTTTTAACTTTAAATCGGTCTGGCATTATACACAATTCTTCAGACAAATGTGTTGTTTTGTTTGGTTTATTTTGTTTTACGGCATATTAACACCTCAATGGGTTATTTAATGTCGATAAAATGTTTAGGATAGGTTCGTATGTAGAGAATAGATATTCTTTGTTATAAATCGTATTTTTATAATGAGGGTTTTTGTCGAGAGTCAAATCTGTTACTGGCAATTTTTTTTCCAAAATGTATAGCTGCTAATTATTTTCCTAAATGTATTGCTGCTATTAAGCGTATATATTCATATATAAGATATTTATTAAGCGTATATATTCATATATAATGATAAAATAACGAACAAATAGGAAGCACTTATCAATCTAATATGTTTCACTTTTATTAAATTTTTATCAAAGCATGAGATATGGAAAAAAAAAACTAATTTTACTCTATATCTCATTCTATATGAAGATTTTAAACGACTGAAACTGTTAGATTGATAAACGTTTCCTATTTATTTGTTCTTTATCTTATCATTCTGTCAGATTCCGATTTATATTTGAGCCCAGCTCATTCAACGATATATAATTTTTTATATATCAAGAACAATTTTAGGAAAATCTATGACAAAGTGGAAAAATCTTTTTTTTTTGTTTGTTTGAAAAATTATACAAGCACAAAAGCACACACTCAATGTATTAGTTGCTCACTGTAATGAGACTGAGCATAATTTTGATTTTAAAAATGCCACTTCAATTAAAAGAGAAAACAAGTTTTAATCACGAAATCAACTACATTAAATTTGCGTCCAGGTTCTTACAAAAATTTACCTTTTTCGGCAGATCTATTATCCCAATCTGGGATATTTAATAACAAAAGTGATAAAATATAAACAAAAAGATTAGTATATTTTTCTTTTTGCTTACATCTTTATGAAATCGTTTACACTATATATACAAAACATATTTTAAAAAATAATGTTAAGAATACCATTTCAGTGTCCCCTCCTATTGTTATGCGTGTAATCACATCAGCATAAACATTACTTCAGTCCGATTAAGTCTTATAGGACGAAAGGCGACACACACACAAAAAAAAACCATTTGACACTTTATCAGCGTCTCGGATTGAGGGATTGGAGAGCCGAGTTCGAATTCCAGTCGAATCTATTACATTCAATTACGTGCTAATATCCTTGGGAAAGGTATGAATCCTCTTCTTCTCCCTCCAGTTATGAGTAAATAGCAGGTCAGAATGAGTTCTACAGCCTTGGATGGCAGCTGGTCTAACGCAGAAAGAAATGGCAACCTACTGCGGGAAAAATCTGCCTCATCAGTCATGTATCGAAAGATACATGATCGCCTAAGCGTGTATCACGCATGGCACATAGCTGACTGATATATACAAAACATTAAAAAAAGATAATATTTAAACATCTAAATGTAATCACATCAACGTAAACATCACTTTAGTCCGATTAAGTCATAAAGGACGAAAGGCGTCACACGAAAAAACAAAAAAAAAACATTTTACACTTTGTCATGGACGTTCCTAATTTTCATATATATTAATAAAGACAAAAGGAAAACTTACCTTAGCCAACACATTTTGTCCTCTGATGGACTTTATCCATGTAAATGTAATGATTTTATTTTGCAACAAGTATTTATACAGAAGTAAAAAAAGTCGTGAGTTTCTCAGACTCTTTAAATTTATGAACGCTCATAAATATATTTTAGGCTAATTGAAAGTCAAGATAAGCTATAAATGATGTTAAGTGATGTAATTTAATGTCTAATGAACGAAAGTGAGTGAATGTTGATGTTGAATTTTTTTATAATCTAAGTATTATTTATATTAGGTTGATAAATTAATTTATGACTTATATATTTTAAATAATATAAGGTTTTGAATTTAAACATTTTCTTTTGATTTAAGAAATATTATAGCTATATATGTTGACTTGGGAAAAGAGTATTTCTTTTAGGAAAGAAGATATTTGAAAAAAAAAATCCAGGGCGCAGTTTTATATTTTGGCAAGATTCAGTAGCGGTACTCTCAAGAATTTTCCACCTACGTACTTTCTCTTTTAATAAGTGTAGCGTTCTTTAGATCGAAGTTGTGGTTGAACTTATTTCTATGTATGTTTAACGAATTTGATAAATTGTTATGCATAAATCCCTTTTTTGTGCTCTAAGATACGCTTTTTTTTTTAATTTCTGGAAGATTCCCCAAAGAACAGTTGTGATAACATATTTTATGTCCGCTTCAGAATTATTTTGGATAGTAGTGGTTAAGGAGTTAATAAGATGTATTATGTATCTGTTTTTATGTAGTTTTTTGTTATTGTTATTTTTTTTGCAGTTGTATACTTTATATGTCTATACTCATTATTTTATATATATATATATATTATATTATATATATAATGATAATATATATAATATAATAATAATAATAATAATAATAATAATAGAATATAATACAATAACAATATGATAATAATAGGATATGTCTATATTTCTGAGATGAGGTATTATGTACATTATTTACATTATTCAGACTAATGTCCTCAAGGACACATGGCACAGTGGATAAAGGCGTTAGTTAGATCCAGTGACAGGACCCAAAGAGTGTGAGTTCAATACCCGGTTAAGTGAAGAACTTTCAGAGGGAGATAACTGATAACTGACATCCATCAAACATGACACGTGGAACTAGAACAGTCTACCCCAGTGAGCGAAATAAAGGGTTCAGTTCGACATTCCAACCACCTGAAGAAGGCCGGAGCGTACAACAGCAGAAACGTAGTAATAAATATGGCGACAAAGATGAGGACAATAGTCCGAGTAATGTGAATAATATCATAATATATATATATATATATATATATATATATATATATATATATAAATATATAAAAAGGCTTAAACACTAATATTCCATGGTCATAATTTATTCCACTGGAATCGTAAATACGATCCAATTCATCAGACCTAAAATTCAAAAAGAAAACAGAAAAAGGATGAGGAGGAGGAGGGAGATTACACTCTCTCTAAATTCTGTTTTTATTTCCGGAGTTGTTTTTTCTGTTTTCTTTTTGAATTTGTAGGTCTGATGAATTGGATCGTATTTACGATTCCAATGGAATAAATTATGACCATGGAATATTAGTGTTTAAGCCTTTTTTTATATCCTTACTCTGTCCTAGACATTGAGTTCTACCTGGATTCTTCCTCTTGAATTTTTTTTTTCTAAAAATATACATGTATGGGTATTTATATATTTTGCATATGTATGTATATTTTCCACTAATATCTATCTATCTATCTATCTATATATATATATATATATATATATATATATATATATATATATATATATATATAATAATTGTTTTATATGGCTATCCCCATTATTTCATCCACAGCACTAAGAGAAAGGCATACAAAACCCCAACAACCTAATTTCTTAATATTTAATGACAAACACGAGGGAGAGATAGAGTGAGAGAGAAGGGAGAGAGAGAGAGTGGAGGAGGAGGTTTATTTCGTAAAATTACTTACCTGGGGAGGAAGGATAAATTCGTTCCTAATCAAGACCTTGGGAAAAATAAAAAGCAAATGAGGAAAAAACTTAAATTATGAATATCAGTGATTAATGTGAGGGTCTATAAATTCTTATCGAAAACATTATTTATTCCCAATACACCTATATAATAAATCTCAATGTCAGTGAGTCAGTGTGTCACAGGTCTTCAATTAAAGGGACACAACTCTCAATAGTTCATCATTGAACTTTTAAAAGGTAAGCTTAAGTATTAATGTAATACTTAAATGCAGCGATCAATTTTGAGTTCTGTATTTTATTGCTGCCTATCTCATCTACCCCTCTCTACTTGTTGTGGCGAAAGCTTAATCAAGAACCCTCCGTAGAAGCTAGCTTAAATGCCACCCGATAGGACGGCTTTTATGCTAGTAATTAATATAAGGAGGTCAGTTCAAAGTGGTATAATTCTTACCAAGCTTATCTCGCTAGATCAATTACGACTGAAAAGTAAGTTCAATCTTCACTGGATTCCCCTAAACTTTCGATCTTGTGCCACATCTGAGTTACACTTAGAAAATTTTGATAATGCTGATTCTCAATGAAAATTGATTATTGAGGCGTTCGATATCTCATAGGATGCCACATTTCTTTAAGCCTAATCTGATAAATATCTATTTGTAACGTTTTAAAACGAATGTGAAGTAAGAAAATCGGATATTATAGCCTGGAAATTCGATCCACATTGTTTATCTCCGAATAATATAATAATATTTAGAACAGGAGTCCCAAAGACTTTTAGACAATCGAGACCTCCTCATGGGATCCTTGATTCCATATCGACCACAAGACATGTACAAAAATATAAATAATTTCTATCTTTTAATTATCCTTTTGTTTTTCGTTCATTATTGTTTTTAGATTTATTTCGGTGTTACGTTTTGTTATTCTTGTCTCAGTTTATATTTCTCCTATAGTAGACATATTTGTTCGACTGGAAAATATGCAAACTTTACGGGAAGAAACTACAAGAATTTGGTATGAACATTACCCAGACTCGGTTACAGAGATAGGACCTGTAACAATTTCAGGGGACTTTACAATACACACACAACAATCAAAGCTAATCGTCCAGACATCGTGATCAAATACCACAAGAACAGAATATGTTTTCTTATTGACATGGCAGACCCTGCAGATTGTAATGTATCTTTGAAGATCTTCAAAAGAAAAATATGAAAATACAAGGACCTTGAAGTGAAAATCTAAAAGAAAATGTGACATGTGATGATATCAATAATTCCAGCTGTAGTTGGAGCTGTCGGATTGATTGGAAAAAGGTTACGATAGACTTATTGAAGGTTGTCCTAGTAGCCCATATCTTAAAGAAATACAAAAAAAAAAAAAAATTACACACAAGTACAGCTCACACATCGCGAAGAGTTTTATATATGTAAAATGTGTGTTCATAGATTTTTTTTTAACAACATATGATCATTGGAAGAAGTCATGAAACCATTTCTGACCTTAGGTTGAGACCCAGGAGGGAAACGTGTATACAATAGAAACCCAAAAAAATAATAATAATAATAATAATAATAATAATAATAATAATAATAATAATAATAATAAATCGAAATCTCAAAATGTGGCACATGGGAACATCAACAATCCCTGTTATTGTTGGAGTCATCGGATTGGATGGAAAAGATTCCAATAGACTCATTGAAGGGATTCCAGGAAGCCCATGCTTTAAAGAAATACAAAAAAAAATTATTCTCTCGAGTACAGCCCACACCTTACGAAGGGCTTTATGTAAAATATATGTGACCTTAGGTGTTTTTTCTTCAAAAAATGCTGAGTGGAAAATGTCATGATGCCATTTCTAATCTTCGGTCCCTGGACGGGACCCGGATAGAAATAAGTATAGGAAATAAAAGAATAATAATAATAAAAATAATGAAATCTAAAAATTGTGACACATGGAGACATCGGCAATTCCAGTTGTAGTTGGAGCACTCTGATTGGAAAAGATTCGAATAAACTCATTGAAGGGATTCCTAGAAGCCTATGCTTTAAAGAAATACAAAAAAAAATGTTCTGACGAGTACAGCCAATATGGAAAAAAATATTAATTCATTCTTCATAGTTTGTAAATTGGCGTATTTTCAGTTCTATTAAAAACTAAACGTTCCTATCATAAATGTAAACATTTAAGATAGTGACTTAATGAAACCTAACACTTTTTACGAGAAATGATTCCTCTATTTTTGTTTGATATTTTCTTATGTTTAACATTATATCCTCTAGATTTGTGTATCGCATAGATTGTGCAAAGTCAAACCAAGTTAAAATATACTGGTAGATGCTGTAACATTCCAGTACATTTTATTTTCATTGTAATTTGTTTTCATCTGAAGAAAAACGTGGGTAAATATGCGTGTGGATAGGTAACATAATTAAAATATTTTCGATGACAACAACCTCACGGACTTAAAAGGGATAAATAATGAATAATTTAATATTTTCGTTTGAGAATTGTCACTGATACTTACTGCTCCATATTCATGATACCTTGGCTTACCAATAACTGGAGTATCATCCCAAAAAGTCACGGTGTATCCTAAAAATAAATTGAAAAATAATTAATATTTTCGTCTGAATTTCTGAGATGATGTGTTTATCATGATTAGCAGACAGACAGTGACGATTCCTGGACGTTAAAGAATTCGGTTCGAAATTCACTTCAGTTACACGGATTGGCAGAAGAAGGCCGAAAAGCACAACAACCGAAAAGTTCTGTAAATAACAATAAAGATGCCGAAATTAATCCAACGACAAATACAAAGTACAGGAAATTGTGGAGAGTCATGGTCGCTAACGTCCTGAAGGGACACGGTACATAGAAGTAGAAAAATGAGCTTGAGTAAATGGATGACAGAAAAGGGTTTAGGAGAGATAACAAAAAGTCCAAATTTATTAAGAACTATAAAGGACAGGACATTGTGGAGAGCCATGATCGCCAGTGTCCTGAAGGGATATGGTACATAGAGGGATAAGAATAAGCTTGAGTAAAAGGATGGCAGAATAGCGTTTAGGAGAAATAACAAAAAAAACAAAATTTATTAAGAGCTACAAATGACAGGAAGTTGCGGAGGACAGGAAGTTGTAGATATCCATGATCGGACACCCTGAATGGAGACAGCAAATAGAAATTCCTGGTTGATCATGGGCAGTAATTATGAATTCTCCACTCTCTGGTATGAGACCAGAGCGTTTTAGACACTGATAAGTGTTTGATCTTGACGGCATTGGCTTTATCTAATATCATAGATGAAGAAGAACGATCTTAAGTAAATGGATGGCGGAACAAAGTTTAGGAGAAATAACAAAAAGGCAATTTATTAAGAGCTACAAAGGAAAGGAAATTGTGGAGGGCTATGATCGCATCTGTTCTGAGTGCACACGGCACATAAAGAAAAAAGATTACCTGCATATTTATTTATTTGCTATACAATAATAGACCGACTTATTATCGGTGGGACATAAAGCCGAAAAATAGTGAAATGTATATTTATTTTTCAATACATATACAATAATTTTTAATGCTATATACACATACTCCCTTTATTTATTATCTGTTAATTTCTATGATTTATTGGAAAGGATAAAGATTTTTAATCCAGAATAGTCCTTCCCCAAAACTAGCTTCCATCTCAGGTTAGATAGCCCAGTCTATTCTGGTATTTAACTGAAAGATGGAGAGGAAGGAAAAGAACTAAACTGACGCCTTTCTCAAGGATATTAGTGCAAAAAGGAATTAAAAAAAGTCGAAATTTGAACTCGACTTGTCAACACTACTTTTTCTCACCAAACTGAAAACCTTCGCATATCCATGACAAAAGTTTAGTTTTCGATGAAAAAATATAATTTTAACACCAAAGATGTTTCATTTTGATTTTGTTGGCAAGGATTAGGCATTATTCAACAACCAGAATTTTGAAACAAGGAGACCGTCCAGAAAAGTTGTCTAATGGATTACGATTCCGATTCTGATTGTTTTGATAAGAAAAGTCTTTGTTGAGGACCTATGGATTGAAATGATCCCTCTAAGTCAATAAAGGATAGTGTTACCCTTCAAGCGAGTTCTGATGGAAGAGCCTAAATAAATTTACTCATGGCTGTCAGACAATTTCTTACACCACATTACCCCTTACATCTGATCAACTAACTGTAAACTGAAAACCTTGATTATTATTTTTGGGTAATTTTAATAAATTCTGTTAAAAAAGATGACAGTGTTATTTTCATTTTACGTAATTTCTGGATGGCAAGCCAATTATTTTACTGTTACTCTTTAGAACCCTGTAATTTTAATAATTATATCTGTTAAAATAAGATGACAGTGTTATTTTCATTTTACGTATATATATATATATATATATATATATATATATATATATATATATATATATACTCAAGAAATGTGACGGCTTACACAGCGGCCCTTTCAGTAAATGCCCTTCAGTTTTAGTTTCCCACGCCCCATCTCTCACACCCACCCCTTTTTCTTTTCTTTTCCTCTCCCTCCCTCTTCTTCTGATCTTAAAGATTAGATCGTCTATATTGTGTGTGTATGTCACCACAAAATGTATCCTTTTCGGTTACATCTTTAATGTATTAGACATCCGTCAACATTCATATTTCTCTCACTTAAACCTCTTCAACTCACCTCTCTAAAACTTCTCTCTGTTAAGTTTTAATCTCCCACCTTCTCTCGTCTGTTACCCCTCTCTTTAGCTCTAACATTCGTCCCATACTCTCATACTTACACTCTCTCTAATTTTTTTTATTTCCGGAGTTGTTCTTTTCTGTTTTTTTTTTTTTTTTTTTGAATTTGTAGGTCTGATAAATTGGATCGTATTTACGATTCCAATGGAATAAATTATGACCATGGAATATTAGTGTTTAAGCCTTTTTATTATATTCTTACTCTGTCCTGGACATTGAGTTCTACCTGGATTCTATCCTCTTGGAATTTTTTATTCAAAAAATATATATGTATGTGTATGCATCTATGTATATATATTTATATATTTTGCATATGTATGTGTATTTTACTAATATTCTCTCTCTCTCTCTCTCTCTCTCTCTCTCTATATATATATATATATATATATATATATATATATATATATATATATATATATATATATATATATATATATATATATATGTGTGTGTGTGTGTGTGTGTGTGTGTGTGTGTGTGTGTGTGTGTGTGTGAGAAAAACGATATTAATTCCCAATATATATATATATATATATATATATATATATATATATATATATATATATATATATATATATATATAAAGAAATACTCAATATAAAAATAATGCAAGAAAAAAGACTTGTCAAATATGTTTTCGTGAAGTAACGGAGTGATCATGTGCAGTGGGCTTGATCATAAAAGGATGTCATATGTCTGTACTAAAGTAAAATTAATAATTAAATCAAAGTTAGAAGCAGATGTTAATTTGCAATGTTAAAAGACGTTTTATAGAATATAAATGTTTCTCACCTTCATAATAGTCGTGTCCTTTGTTAGAAAATAGTTGAGCTTTTACAACATAGCCCCCTTTACCTTGATCTGGGGATAAATAAAAAAGGAATTATTTCATTAAAAGTTTTTCATGAAAATCAAATTTGATTTCTACATCATTATTGGAAATAACTTAATCTGAAACAAAATATTTGAATTTAGTAACATTTATATAACAAATACTGTTGCATACAAATAAAAATAAAATTGAAAAAAGGTTAAAAATTAGTTGTCCGATTTCTTAAATGTTTTTTTAATCATTTCACCCCAGACAACAATGTAAGGCACTAAGACAAAGGGTTACTTTTTGTGAAAGAACATGAAAAAAAGAAACATTATTAAAGCGAAAGAACGGTAGAAGATTAATGACAGTATATGGTGATTGAAATTGTATCTAAATATTTGAAGATCAAATGTGACTGGGAAGTAAGAAGTCGGAAGTGAGTTCCATAAGCAAGAAGTGAGGCAGAAGAAACTGTTAGCATAGAACTTACGGTTACCCCTAGTCAATTCTACTGTGAATTGGCGAGATCTTGGTGCCAATCTTTTTACCCGCTTAAATTTATAAAGTTTAGGTACCATGATGAAAGGTTCATCCGAAAATTTACGATGAAAGTATTTATACAAACGGCAAAGAAGCGACATTGTAGCTGTGAGATAAGTGACTGAAACCGAGACGCCATGACAAGACCAATAATATTGCTGATTCTTTGAATTTTATTAAGAATCTCTAGACAGGACTACCGGACTATATGTGGCAACGATATTCAAGGAATGGACGTATGAATATGAAATTAGATTCAAAAGATAAAAATTGTCTAGCACAATACTGTGAACCAATGTTCTTAGCAGCATACATTGTGATTAATTCAATATAATTATTACACTTCATATCATCCGGGAATGTTATCCCAAGAAGGTGTAATGAGTCAATCGATGTTGATGCGAAGCAGGAATGCGGTTTTCAAGTGACTGACAGAGAGATTATTAATTTAGGAGGCGTTAAAATTAACAAACCTTTCCTTTCCCCACTTACTAACAGACCGTGTGTTATTTTTTAGATCAGCTAATTTGACCTTATCGAACTGCTATCAAGCCAGGAGTAAATGGTTGTGTTATTAGCATAGATATCAAGCTGAGAAATGATGCCATAAGGAAGGTTATTGATGTATACGTGTAAGTGCAGTTTATTTTGCAACAATTGCTTAAAAAAGTGAGAAATGGTGACCATCTTCAGTTTCTTCAGTCAGAATCAATAATTCTAAGCAGTTAAGTAATGTTCGATTTTACTTTCATAGAAATTCGCAATAAAACATGCATAATATCAAATTTTATTATTCAAGTCCGCACTTTTCAAAATAAAATTGGTGTCTACCATCCAATATTAGTTCAGTTATCAGGACATTAATATTGAAAATACTAACTTGGAAATGATGCATGTTGATTATTTACAAATTTACAAAAATGAAAAGATACACGACTTGAAGAGGTTAAAATTGTAGTTTTCAGGGAAACATCCACGTTGGAGTCTGTTCTACAAAGTAGCCATTAGTGGGGAAATTGACAGAATTAAACTTGTTAGTATTTAATGGCCTATTGGGGTTGATATGCTGTAAAACAAAACAAACCAAACCTAAATTAAATCAACAAAGATCCTATAATTTAAAAGGAAAAACAATACGCAGAGAAAGAAATTAAAAATCGTAATAATGCGATCACTATTCACAGCATCTCTCTCATGTTACTCTTAAATAAACACATGAAGTTTCCTTATTATGAACTGGTTACTTTGAATTATTATTCCCATTTTCGTGATTATACTCACAACGTTTCTGCCATTGTACCCTCTCGACTTCATCAGTCACCCAACATTCTCAAAATTTCAGACTGAACCTCTTTATTCCGCTATAAACCCTTTCTTACAGACGAAACTTTGCTAAGCTTCTCACTGTTCTATATCTATTTCCATGGAAAGTGCTCAGATGAAATAAATTCCTTAGTTCTACCAGTTCTAAACTTCTCGGCTAGGACCCGCCATGCCACGCACATTGTAGCGAACTACGTTTATTCCCCTTTGTATTCCATTGTTCGTATGTACGCTCCACTCTAGCAAATTCTTCCCACGAACAATTGCTGTGTGGAACCGACTCCCAAGAGGATGCTTTCTGATCACTACAATCTTAACCAGTTCAAGTCAAGAGTTAATCGCTATCTTTCCCCATATACCCGCATAAACTGTGCCTCTTACCCTGTAACCCTCTACCTAGAGTGGTTCTCGGACCTTATACAGATTGAACAGGGGGAAAAATGGTCTAAGCTGTTCCCATTCCATTGTCTATGTTAATTCGTATTACTTTTGTTCTTGCGTCCTTCTTGGTAATTAAACCGAGATGATTAATGATACAGATTTTTTTAAAGAAAAGATAGTTCAGACGTACATTGATTTTTACTAGTCAGCTTAGGTCAATGTAGAAGACAATCACGTTTTAATGACACATTTGACCGTATATAAAACGTATATTTAAAGTAAATTGCTGAAAAAAAATCATCTTACATGAGAAGTTTAGTTTAATCATTTCACCCCACGCATGGCAGTAAAGCCACTAAAACAGGAGAGAATACTGAGATGGAAAGGATAGGAAAAAGAAAAAAATATTAATGAGCGAGAACAATAAAAGAGCAATCAAGAAAACAGGAGATATTGTATTTAGAGTTGGCTGGAAAGTAAGAAACCAGACGAGAAGTGCGATTGAAATCCCTGTTAGCATAGAACGTTTGCTTACATCTAGCCAATTCAACAGTAAAGGGATGATATCTTCCCGCCAAACTAGTAGTGTGCTTAAATTCATAAAGTCAAGATACCATAGAGGAAATTTCATCAGAACAATTACCATGAAATTATTTATGTAAAAAAGCACAAAGAAACAACATTACGACAATGGGAACGTGACTGAAGGCGAGATGCCAGCTCAGAACCAATTACATTGCAGATTCTTTTTTTGCATTTTATCAAGAATCTCTAAATGTATAGCAGGAACACCAGACCATATGTGGCAGCAATATTAAAATTATGGACGAATGGTAGACTTATAAATATGGAAGATATATTCTGGAGTTAAAAATTGTCTAACACGACACAATGAACCAAATTTCCTAACAGCACACCTAGCAATGAATTCAATATAGTCTTTCCACTTCATGTCAGCTGAGAACGTTAGTCCGAGAAGTTGCAACGAGTCACTGTCTTGAAGGTATGCATCAAACATGCTGATGGGAGGCAGGAAGTGGTCTCTCAGATGATGAGTTCCTAAGATGAAAGAAAGCAATATCGTTTTGGAGGTATTAAAAAGGTACTCACCCAATCCCGGCATTCCAGTTACAAGTCTTCCTGTCTGCAAATAAGAGAAAATTACTTAATATTTTAACTGCCAAACAATACAGGATGTTCTGACTAAATGTGAAAGAGTCTAATGTGTTTATTTTTTCAGAGTGGTTTGGAATATCTGTAAACAGTGAACATTATTGTGAAACCTTATCACTACAGTTTTAGAAGAGTCAAAGTTAACTGACGAGTGGAAGCCACCTGGATATTGGGAAAGGGTAAACTGCCCCATGATGATTCGTGCTAGGCATCAAAATGCCCGCAATCATGACGAATTAAAAGAGTATTAATTAAATTTATGCAAATTGGGTTTTGTGTCGTGCTGTGTGTCATAGTGTTATGGAGAGGTTCGAGTAATGTTGCAATTGTAAAGGAGGACGTTTCGAGTAATTAAACTGTGCTAAAAATGTAAATAAAGTAAAGGTATATTCATTTATATACTTTTTAGATGTTTTTAAATAGATATTAGAAAAGAAAATTTAACATACACACATTTAGATGAGTTTCATAAAAAAAACCTTTGAAAATGGAAAGTTACATACAAACTTTTAGGTGTGCTTAAATAAATCCCTGAAATGTAAAGATTACAAATTCACGTTTAAGAGAATCCATAAAATTGAAACGGTTTAAAGACAAGATACACATTGAGTTGTGTTTAATCAAACCCCTAAAAGGCGAAAATGTTAAACCTTGATTTCATTTTAGAAGCGGGAAATGTTTCAGTGGATTAGTAAATCCTACTGAGTCGACAACACGGAATCCACTCGGCAACCATCGTTGTTTCTTTATGATCTGTATTTATAGCTTTTATTAAGCAGATGCTCAATGATCTCTGAACACCATGAAAACAATAAGACGTGAAATGGAGAGCTGCAACATGGTTTGTAGGTAAGAACACAGCAGGCTGTATGATTGCTTCCATACACTAGAATTTATCCAACAACTGCAGGAGAAAGTGATGGGAGACCCAGGCAAAGGAATGCGAACTTTGTCACGGTAAATGGGTGTTTCAATTTCTTTTGAAGCTGGCCTTGAAAGAGGACCTTCTCTAACATTCATACAAAAGGGGTAAAGATCAACTTCTTACAGAAAAGGCTCGAGAAAACCGTTTGATAGCGGTAGAGAATCTCCTGAACAAGGTGAAACATCTTGTTGAACCAGGGACAATCTGTTTCCTCTCTGATGAAAATAATTTTTGTCAGGACCAGCTTCACAACATCTAGAAGAATAGATGGTTTGCCTACAATCCATATAACGTTACCTGTATCATGAAGACCAAGTTCCCCCAAAATATGACCTCCAGTGAGGGTGATGTCATGTCATCTCACATCTTTGAATAAGGTCTCAGGCTCAATTCGAATGACTATGTGGAGTTCCTGAATACCGTGGTCAAGCATTTGTTGGAGAGAGAGTACCTGCTGGAAGACCATATGTGTAGTAGCAGCAAGATTTACCTCCCTGTTACACCCCCAGGAAGAGTCAGAAGTGGTTTTTAGATAAGTTTTATGACTTCACCAGCTTCAACCTTTGGCTCCACTGATTGTAATACTGTGGATTATTATGTGTGGGGTGCGGTTGAAAAAAAACAACAACAGTACTTGTAACATTTACGCCAAGATGATCGTTAAGATTAAGGAGGCGTTTGAGGCATTCCCTAGGGACATCGTAAATGCTGCATGTGCTAGATTACGGAGTCGGATCAGTTCCGTGGAAAATGGTGAAAGTGTCTTCTTTGAGTGTATTGTCTTTTGATTATTTATAAACTGTATACCATTTTTCTGTTTTTGAAATAAATTGATTTTTGACTGAAATATACACTTTGTTTTCCCTAAAATATCTGTCAAATTTAGCACGAATTTCTGTATATCTATCTGTTATATCAAAACAAACCGAACTCCTGTCAAGGTTGGCTATGGTAGTTACAGTCTTTAAAGCAAAAGGAATGGTTTATAGATCAAAAAGTTATACGTTTTTGACGCGTATTACTATCTATGGCAATTCCTTCCAAGCCTCTAATTATATTTTTCAGATTTGCCAGATTTTGTTTATCCTCGATTGAGGTGTAAAGATTGTAGAAAGATAACGATTTAGTTGATTCTTCTTAATATATATATATATATATATATATATATATATATATATATATATATATATATATATATCTATGCGCGCGTGTGTGTGTGTGTGTTATGAAATGGTCTATGCCCGACAATTATTTTAATATATTTTATTTTTTATATTTAATAATACTGTATTATTACTTACTGTACTTTATTAATTTAACTACTTTACTTGCTGTATGAGTACAAACTGGGGAAAAAATACAATTTTGCATCGAATCATTACATGCGATGAGAAACTGATACTCTTTGACAACAGTAGGATAATAGGCCAGCGGTTAGATGCAAATGAATTACAAAAACAATTATCCAAAACACCCTAAAAATTAATGGTTACTGTATGGTGGTATTTCAAAGGGGTTATTCATTATTCATTTTTGCCTCAAGGGAAAACAATAACAACAATCCCATATTGTAAATAAATTGAGTGTATGCATGCAAAATTGAAAAAGACACATCCTAGACTTGTGAATAAGGATGGCCCAATTTTGCTGCATGACAACGCAAGGCTACACGCTTCTCAGTCCAAAAGCTGCATAGCTTGAATTATGAAATTTTGCCTAATGTGAGGCACCTTGTAACTCCAAAACAGAAAGTTAGAAGATTAGAGAGGGAGAAGATCTTCTTGAATAAGTTCTAAAATGATCCTGAAATAATATATATATATATATATATATATATATATATATATATTTGAACTTTATTTCAGTCCTTCATAAATTTCCGATCGTTAGCTATAATTAACTGATGATGAACATTTTGTTTTATGATCGATTTTTCTGTTAATCATAGACAACAAAAGCATTAGACACAATTTATTAATTAGGTTGTTTATTTACAAGAATGATGTTATATTTATAAGATTATAAAAAAATATGCGAACCAACTACAATGCAATATTTACTTATAACGAAATAACTATGAAAACAACTTTATCATTAAAATTTATAATTTTTAGAATTTAAAATTTTATTTATAAAAATGACTGTGAACATGAGAAGAAGAAAATTTAAAGAAACACCTAAAGACGACTGATTTTAGCTATAAAGTTTGAAATAATTCATTTTCCGGACCTTTCTTTCATTTTCTCTCACTACATGAATTCACCCACACTTTCAAATGTGAATTTCTTTTCTACTTCTCTTAAAGGGATGCACAAACATGTAACAAATTTAAATCATAATGAGTTGCATTTTCCAAGGGTTAAAAGTTAAGATTTATCGAGGATTTAACAAATAAATTATCATCAAACCTGAGAATATCGACAAGAAATTCCATACATCGGGTTAAATTGATGATTGATGGTTTCTATTATTATTTGTGATGTATCACTTGTATCATTCATTCTGTAACAGGCTCCCATGAGCATCTTCTGAGAGATAGCGTATTCTAGAAATCTGTGAGCACACACCTGCGAAGAGAATATTTCAGAGTTAAAAAGATGGATATGAAAGATTTGAAGAGAGAATGAAATGGAAAACGTGAAAGATGCTGTTGTCGTCAGGAATTATTTCATTGATGATCGTTAAATACATTCTTGATGCATTGTTTCAACTGGGACAGGTTGACAACCAGAGCTGCGTTATGACATTGACAGGGTTATTAGATAGCCGTAAGGAAAAAAGGTCTTTATTCACGGTATTAATTTGGCCGAAAGCGGTAAAGAAGAGAGTCCTTAGTGAATGTATGAATTTGACCGAGTTACAAGATAGCAGTAACAAAGAAGTCTTTATTCTAGGTTTGACATTGACCGAGTAATAAGATAACCGTAAGAAAGAAAGGCATTATTCACAGTATGATTTGATCGTGTTATAAGACAGCGGTGAGGAAATACGTTATTCACGGTAGGAATTTGACCAAGTCATAAGAGGAGGGACGATGATCTTTATTCACGGTATGAATTGTATTGGGTTATTATATAGCCTTAAAGAAAAAAGGTCTTTATTCACGGTATGACATTCACCGAATGATAAGCCGATCAAACACATACCGTGAATAAACACTTTCTTCCTTGCCGCTGTTGGGTTTCTTATAGGTATGTCAAAGTCATACAATGAATAAATAACTTATCTTATAACCAGGCCAATCAATGATCAATGATAAGGAAGAAAGACATTATTTACGAAATGACATTGAAAGAGTTATAAGATACATGTAAGTCTTTATCCACACTATGAATTTGATCGGGTTATGAGATAGACATAAGGAAAAAAGTCTTTATATACAGTATGATTTTTAAACTAGTTATAAGACAGCCGTAAGCAACAAAGTCTTTATTAAAGGCATGACTTTGATTGAGTTATAAGATAACAATAAGGAAGAAAGTCTTTGTTCGTAGTATGAATTTGACAAGGTTATAAGGAAGAAAGTGTTTATTCATGGTATGACCTTGAGCGATGATAAAATGGCCGTACAAAAGAAAGACTTCATTCTCGGCATGACTTTGGCCGAGTAATATGATAGCCGTAAGAAAGAATGTCTTTATTCAAGGTATTACTTTAATCGGGTAATAAGTTACGATAAGGAAGAAAGACATTTACACGGTATGACTTTGAAAAGATTATAAAATACCTGTAAGCAAGAAAGTCTTTATTCACAGTATGTCTTTGACCGAGTTAAGGTAGCCGTAACGGAGAAAGTGTTTATTCAAGATATGACTTTGTTAGTGTTATAAGATAGTTGTCAGAAACTTTCACCGAGTCATAGAATAGCCATAAAGAAAGGAGTTTTTATTTACGTTGTGAATATGACAGGATTATACGATAGCCGTAAGGAAGAAAGTCTTTATTTACGATATGACATTGACCAAATTATCAGATAGCCATAAGGAAGAAAGTCTTTATTCGAGTTTTGATTTTGATCGGCTTGTAAAATACCCGTACGGAAGAAAGTCTATTCACGATATGACATTGACAGATTTATAAGATAGCTGTGAGGAAAAAATTCTTTATTCACACCATGTCTTTGACTGTCTTTGACTGAGTTATAACATAGCTGTAAGGGAGAAAGTCTTTATTCAGTGTATGACTTTGACCGAGTTATAAGGTACCCGTAAGGAAGAAAGTCTACTCAATCTTTATTCTCAGTATAAATTTGTTTGGGTAATAAGATTCACGTAAAGAAGAAAGTCTTTATTTCTCGTCTGTCTTTGACCTGTTTATATGTTACCTGTAAAGAAGAAAGTTATTATTTACAGTATGACATTGACCAGGTTATAAGATACCTGTAATAAAGAGAGTCTTTACAGTATTATTTAACCGAATTTTAAGGTAGCCATCAGGAAAAAAAGCCTTTATTCAGGTATGTCTTTGGCCTGGTTATAAGATACCTGTAAGGAAGAAAATCTTTATTCACGATATGACTTTGACATACCTATAAGAAATTCACACCCTGAGTTATAACATAATAACAAGTAAGGAGAAAAGTGCTATTCACACCATGTCTTTTGAAGAAATAATTTATTGATGGTCTTTATTCAGACTTTGACCGAGTTAAAGACAGCGGCAAGGAAGAAAGTCTGTTTATTTTACACGGTAAAGTGTTTGTCTTTGACCTGTTTATATGTTACCTGTAAAGATGTCATTATTATTGGTACGGAAGAAAGTAATTTATTCATGCTATGTCTTTGGCCTTTATAAGATACCTGTGGATATGACTTTGAAGATATCTGTAACGAAGAAATAATTTTTGAATCACTTTGTATGACAGCGGCAAGGAAAAAGTGTTTATTCACGGTTTGATCGGGTTATAAGGTACGGAAGAAAGTCCATGCTATGACTAATGACCGGGTTTTTAATCACTGTAAAACCGGGTTATAAGATCCCGTAATGACCGGGTTTTAAGAAAGCCGTACGAAAGAAAGTCTTCATTCACGGTACGACTTTGATCGGGTCATAAGATACTCGTAAAGAAGAAAGTATTTATTCGGAGTATGATTTTGATTGTGTTATAAAATACTCGAAGGAAGAAAGTCTGCATTTACTCTATGACTTTGACCGAGTCATAAGATACTCGTAAAGAAGAAAGTCTTTATTCATAGTATGACTTTGATCGGATAATAAGATACAGGTAATGAAGAAAATCTTCATTTACGGTATGACTTTGATCGTGTTTTAAGACGCCCGTACGGAAGAAAGTCATTATTTACGGTATGACATTTACCGACTTATAAGACAACCGTAAGAAAAAAAGTCTTTATTTACTTTATGACTTTGACTGAGTTATAAGATTGCCGTTAAGAAGAAAATTTTTATTCGCAATATGACTTTGTTCGGGTAATAAGATACCCATAACGAAGAAAGTTTTATTTCTGGCAGGTCTTTGTCCTGTTTATAAGATACCCGTAAGGAAGAATGACATGACTTTGATCGTGTTATAAGATAGCCATAAGGAAGAAATCTTTATTCATTGTATGACTTTGACCGAGAATGAGGATGATTTGACTCTGTGCCCGAGCAGCAGCTGGTCATAGCCGTTTAGATCTGAAGTAAGGAATATAGCTTATCTGAACACCGTCATGAAAATAAAGATTAATGAGAGGCCAGCAGTATTTCATCTGTAGGGAAGATGTTGTATGGAGTGAAATGTATTCATTGCCCACATGGCTGCATAAACGCTTCTGAATTCTATAAATATTGCAAAATGAAGATCGTGCAGCTCTAGAGAAGATATGTCAGTAATAACCCATTTTTGGACCAATGGTCTCTATCTTGACAAGAGACGAATAAGTAAAAATAAAAGAGAATAAAAAGAGACAGAAAGAGAAAAACAAACTGAAGTATCATAAAAAGAAAGTAGCTATTCAATAAAGGGATGGGTTAGTGAGAAAAATGGAAAAAAAAAGAAGGAAAATAAAGACAAGCAAAGTAGATATAAAAAATCGAAAGAGAAAAACCAAATGAAGGTGATGAAAATAAATGTGTGTGTCTGTGTATATATATATATATATATATATATATATATATGGCTTGAGGATTGCGTCAGCCTCTAAGTGTTGACTTCTATGTTCACTTTATATTTACACACATTCTGTCTCTGATATTGAGCACTTTATCCCATAAATATAGCACACCTTAAAACTATATATATATATATATATATATATATATATATATATATATATATATATATCAACAATTATTTTAAGACATTTTTATGTTTATGTGGCTCAATCGGTTAAGACACGTCAGGTTATATGACGGTTCCGTTTAGGGTACAGGTTTGATTCCTGTCGGAGGACGAGTATTTTCTATGAAAATTTCTCGGACATTCAGGCCAGTAAATGTTATTAATACTGTTTATTATAAACAGAGGATTTACTTTATTTTTACCTATAAATTGAATATTTTTAATATATATATAATATATATATATATATATATATATATATATATATATATATATATATATATATATAAAGTTCTTGAAGGAAAGAAAAGAAAATGGAAGCATCAGGCTAATGTCATCAATTTTTTTGTACAATATTTCTACCGTTACGCTTTCCAAATTTCCTCGGGTTTTAACGAACCCTTTATTTAATATATGGTCTTAGTTTATTCTCGTTTAGCTGTCTAAAGATATCTCATCTTTCTTTTTTGACTTCTGTTCAGTTATTGTCTCCTTTCTACTAGGTCTAAGTCTATACTACCTAGTACAGTGATTGAACTTTCAATTCTTATCCCAAAAAATTCCCGAACTAATGCTTTAATCCTCGTGACTATGGAGGAAAAATCCTAGAGCGTGAAGTTGGAGATTTAAACATTTTTTTCTATCGCTGCTTTACTGCTAGTCTTGGTGCCTTTTATTGCTCGTTCATCAAGGTTCCTAGATATAAGTCTCCGTTGGTGATTCGAAACAGATTGCAATGGGACTCTTCCCTTGAGGAACGCACGAGTTTCCTAAAGTTTGAAGGCTTGGTTGACTAAGAGCGGACCAATAAAGCAAAATGGTTAACTGAATTACATGGAGGACTCCTTCAGATTCTGGCCTCACCAAGAAGATGCAGGACTATGTGAACTATATAAAGATTTTCGATCGAGTTAACAATGGAAGCGGAAACCAAGGATCAAATAGCCTTCCTGGGTGTACAAATAACTCGAGGAATCAAATATCAGACGTACCCTTCAGAATAACAACTACTCAGCAAGAATAACATAAAGGTAGAGAAAGGTCGAAGAGGAAGAATAACGCAAATAAACTCGCGTCAGACGTTAAGACCTCAGTTAAAACTCTTTATTAGATGTTCTATGTATCCGAGGTAGGTCGAAAACATCCCTGACACAGGCCAACATCGATCCGATCCTGAGAACTGGTAAATTGTTGCTACAAATCAGCCTTCCTGGCGTAGGACCAGTTGGGGGATCGAGATTTCCATTTCAACCGTCAACATGAAGAGGGTTTGCAACATGAGGGCCTGAACATCCCAGCCGCGTCCACCGCTTACACTCCTTTGTGACTCAGGCTCACAACTCTTCTGAAGTAGGTTGGACCTTCACAGCCATCTCCGTCACTGTCACTAGAGGGGAGAAACGGGATAAGGAGAGAGGATGACGATCCTGATGATCGAATACGAGCCGGTGCTGACTAAGACTCGAGAAAGGTTGGAGAATGTGCCCGCCGAAATGAATGAAAATAGAATAAACCATAGAATAAAGGAAATAAACACCTCAGAATTTGAGAAAGAAATGGCGCAAAATAGAGTCTGATTTAGCTGGGATCAGAAGAAAATTAGCGTTGAGAACATTGTGACGTTATATTAAAATCGGATGTTTGCTGGTGTTAGGGTGATAAATCTTTTCATCTGTGATTTTGCAGAGAAGAAAAGGCAATTGCCTGACGGAATAAAATAATGAAGTGGTACTTAACTGTTATTTGCGAATTATAAGGGTTTATATCCAAAGCTACGCCCAGCCACTGGTTTTGTATAGAGTAATCCGGATCTAAAAAGAAAAAGAAATGAAAGAAAATTGATTTGAAAAAAAAAAAAAAAATGATATTCGGGTGTTTGCAAAGTAATTAGGTTTCATCAGAAATTATGTAAAAATAAATCAAAGTTATTGAATCAATTTCTAGATCCGCTGTTAGGAAAGTTGTCAAACCTTTGTTGTGCTATACAATTTTTCTCGCCAGAAACTACTGTACATAGAAGCCTATCATTCGTCCTTGCTTTTAATATTGCTGCCTCATCTGGTCTGGTGCTCCTGTTATTTAGAGATTCTTGATAACATCCAAAAAAGAATCTACAATGTTATTGTTCCTGACATGGCAATCTCGGCTTCAGTTCTTTTTCTCATTGCTGCAATGTAACTTCCTACTGTCTTTTCTACAAATACTTTCATGGTAATTGTTCTGGTTAACTTTCCTCCATGGTACCTAGACTTTATGAATTTAAGCGCAGTAATAGTCTTGCGTCAAAGTTCTCATCATTTTACAGTTGAAATGGCTATATGTAACCGTAAGTTCTATGTTAACAGTTTCTTCTATCGCACTTCTCACTTGTGGAACTCCCTTCCGGCTTATTACTTTCCAGTCAACTTTGATCTTCAAAAAATTTGAATGCAATGTCAATCGTTATCTTCTTCTTTTATTATTCTCTCCTTAGTAGTATTTTCCCTTATAGCTTCTAACATTCAGTAGCTCTCTTGTGTGATTGTAGCGTTATTGCCTTTCTTGGGGTGAAATGATTAAAAAATATTATTTATAAAACATCTGACCACCTTCATTTTCAATAACTGTAGCCCAACGAGAAATTCAAATTTTCACTTTCCGTTGACATGCAAAACCCATTTATCATCACCTGTAACGGCACGATGCAAAAATGAAAGGTTGGCATTGTTGGTAAGACTGCTGTAGGTGATGGAATTTTATTATGTTCGATTTCCAAACTCTCTCTTTGCAAATTTTCACAATTAAACTCTAAAATGCACTGTAAATAACACATTGTCGGATAGAAGACAATAAATTAATTCTAGAAGTAGTTTACAATACTTCAACCTTGGTTTGTTGACTGATAATTCGTAGCAGTGAAATACGTAATTATTTTCCGAACACCCTAACATTTAATATCTTATTTACACTGACATCTTCATTGAAATATATGAATAAATAAATAAGGTAACCAAATAATATATAACAGAATTGATGTGATGTCATTAACTTTGTAGACAAATACTTTTTATCTTTTAGTTTTTAAAAGAACATATACGCATGCGTGATAACTAAAATCATAACGTCAGCCATCTTTCTTTTATTGTGTGTCCTCGTTCAAAATATGTGATCTCTCTTTATTTTGAATGAAGCTCTCATCTTGGTATAGTTACAATGTTTCAACCGTTTCATTCTCTGTCATTCTTCATTTGTCTGTCATGTTTAGTAGTTTTCTAGGATATATGTATAATAATGCTGAACAATATAAAATTGAATAAGACTATATTTAAACAATTCTTTCTTCTGTTCGAGGATCGTTCTAATAACTGCCCAAATATAATACATTTATTTCTTTGATGCTTCATATTTTAAAACCTTATAGTATATATTTATTATATTTACAAAGATTTGGCCCAAAATATATTTAAACTATTACATTGATCCAAAATATATTTAAACGATTAATTGCTCCAAAAATATATTTAAATATTTTACATATAAATATATTTAAACGATTAAATTTTGTATCTGTCTATATTTCTGAGATGAGGTACTATGTTCACTATTTACATTGCTCGGACTATCATCCTCATCTTTGTTGCCATATTTATCACAACGTTCGGCCGTTGTACGTTGGAGAACTTGGAGAGGGGAATTATCAGGAGATAAGTGATAAGTGACATCCATTAGACATGGCACGTGGAACTAGAACAGTCTACTCCAGCGTGCGAAATAAAGGGTTCAGTTCCAACCACCTGAAGTGTACAAAGGCCGAAATAGTGCGATTAAATTTTGTTATACATTGGACTTTACAGTATCGGACTAAATTTTAAAGCATACCAGGAGACAAAAAGAGCCCACCCACAGCTACAATGCTATCATTTAATTTTCCTAACGAGTAAATAACATTTTTTAAAAATACACATGGAAAAGGGATACAATTAAAAATTTTGTGGGAAAATGGGTTTTTCTTCGTAATTACAATGTACATGTACTGTACATATTACTGGCAGTAGATACTAAATGTAAATATAGAATACAATATATATATATATATATATATATATATATATATATATATATATATATATATATATATATATATTATATTATATAACTCAATTTTTATTTACTTTTTTTAATTTTAAGTAATTGGTTGATATTTTTATAAACATTAATCTGCGCAATTTAAACATTAACAGATAGTTCAAAAGCGCAATAGAGCACTGCACACGGTCCTCTATGAAGATCAATACGGAAGAAATATGTAGAGAAAGAAGAAAAGATGAAATGACGCTAGCTTGACTATACATCAGCCATTCATACTTGCTGAAGAATGAAGATCAACCAACAGGTAAAATATGCTAAGCTAGAAACATTTTAATTTTGAAATGTATTCACTTAGCCCTTGTAAAACATAAATACCACCATGAAACAACATGAGAAAACTATTTGAAAATAATGAAACATTCATGTTCTACCTTAAAGAAATAGGTTTATACCAAAGCATATAACACCTGCAACAGATCATCTACCAAATATACATAAGATAACCAATAAAGTTATTGCTGTTTTTACGTCGTGTGGGAAATAGTGATCACTGATAAACAAATGAGGGCGTCACGTGCACAGAAAACGGTGTAGGTGGGGGAATTGCTCTAGACCAATGCAGGTGCGTTGCGTCTACACATCAGTCATGGCTCGAACAGCGATGAGTAAACATGGTAGTGTCAAAGTAGCTTGTTCAGGGTTGTCTGCAGCCTCATCAAAGTCGCCGAATACGCCAAACCTTTGGGAATAGTACTGTGAGTGAAGGCATCGTCAGGCATTGCTTCCAGAAGTTCAGGTCGAATGATCTGTTTCTTTGTGATGAGACTTGCAGTGTTCGGCCACAGGTCCTGGATGATGAGGTCCTGAAGGCGGCCATAGAGGAAAACCTGTGTTGATACTGCCAAACGCTTCCATATTTCGGATAAAACAGTCAGATTTCACCTGCACCGCAAAAGCAACGCGTGCAAGTTGAGCAAGTGGGTATCCCAAACACTGTCAGAAGCCAGCAAGCAAGGACGAATTGTCTCGCTGCTTTCTCGGTACTGCAAACCATATTTGATCGAGTGCTCACCATTGGCTAAAAGCATGTCCTATATGACACTCTCAAGCGTAGCAGACGTTGGTTGACACCACGAACCCTGTGCCTCTCACCACAAGACCAACTCTACACCCACGCAAGATCATACTCTGTATCTGGTGGACTAGTCGACAAATGGTACACTATGAGATGTTAACAATGGGCCAAACCTTCACTACGAGCCTGCACTCACAGCAGTTAGAAGATGTGCAACAGGCACTGAAGCAGAAGGAGTCAGCATTAGTTAATCGCAAGAGCGTACTGTTCCTCCATGACAATGCCAGGTCCCATGTGGCGCGGGTGAACAGATATACCTTACGGCGACTTGGCTGGGAGACACTGTGCCATCCACCTTACTCCCCGGACCATGCACCAACAGATCCCCAACACTTCTATTCCCTGGACAAACACCTTCGTGGGAAATCCTTTGCAAATGAGGCAAATTTCTTAGCCTCCGAGACACCTGATATTTACCGCCATGGCATTGCTTTGGGGGAGGCACGTTGTCAAAAGGTTCTGGATGCCGATGGGGGGAGGGGGAGAAGTGGTCACTTTGAAGACTAACGCTATGTCCATTTTGCTGTATACGTTTTTTTCTTCTAATAAATAAAAAATCAAGTACGTTTTTGTTACCTTGTATCTGTAAAAATACCTTTAATCTGAAAGCATAAGATTATGTATAAAATATCTGTAGTTGAAGGCATTCAAATTCAAAATATTTAGGTTTCGGCATTAAAGAACCCAAAGAGGTTGATATACCGCTAAACTAAAACAATCAAACCAAACTAATTCTTCAGTACCATTGATGAAGAGACAAATGATCAAAGAATGAGAAGGAATTACTGGTATACAACCCGAAATGAAGCCATGATTTTTCCTAGGAATCAATGCAGCAGACCTTGACGCAGAAACATCATGCCTAGGTTGGGGTGGGAGATCCAGGCAACAAGACAAACTTATTTGATTCGGAATCACTATGAGAAGTGGAAGATGAGGCAACATCCCCTACCTCACAAAATATTTCATATTTCCAATATTTTGCTTACTTCTAGGAACGAAGTGTGGAACTCTCCTGCAATTATGTGGGGCTGTAATGTCGCATTCGTACAGAGCTCCCGTCGTGATTTTTTCTATGGTATCATTCGCCTTTGGAGAACCAACCAAAATCCTGAAAAGAAAAAACTGAAAACTTAAAGTAATAACCTGGAGAATATACTCTGTTGTTTCTTACTTGATTTTGTGGGACACAACTTTTTATTGTTACAGTTTCGCCATCATTTTAAGTGAGAACATTTATAAATGTTAAAGTGTATGTCTCCAGGAGAATCATTTTCTACAGTGTCTAGTTAAAAAAGTAAAATAAAAATATACTACGTAAAAAATTAATGCTAAGAAGAAAAAATAAACATGATAATGACAATATTAGTTGTTTCCTTATAAGGAAACATTTGGCATTCATTGACTGAGCAGCCAGTGCTGCTGTTGGTTAAAATTTATAAAAGATTTTTTTAAAAAGATTTTTCAGGAAAATAGGTTTCTCAAGTCCAGTAGGTGTTAATGTACTTTCCATTACTAATGGGGGTTTCCTTCCTAGCCTTTTGTTTGGGATAGTGTGGAAAGGTAGCCTTCTGATTATGTTATTCTTCATTCTTCGAGTTACATGTGCTACTCATTTTAGTTGCTGCTGCTGTCGAAATTCCTCAAGTTATGTAGTTTCTGTTACCTTACACAGTTCTTTATTCGTGACTCTGTAGCGCCAGTTTCGATCTGACGGGGCTATTTAATAACATGACACTAGTTGGAAAGCAACTTTTTTTTTCTGTTAGTAGTGTGTGTTTATTTCAAAAGTTCATCCTCAATGTCAAGTAATGTTTTATTTTTATAATCCTTTATAGCTTTTCTTACTTCGTCGTCATTAGGTTCATTATTGTTTGTTTGAAGACAGACATTGAAATACTCAGATTTATGTTGGGGTATGTTCTAATTTTGTGAACAACTTTAGCTTAGTTGGGTCTGGATTGAAGGGTGACTGTATTTTTCATACTGAGACATACTTCTGTTTTGGTTTCGATTGTAGAATGCTATCAGGATTTTTCGCTTTTCTAAACATTTCAATTAAATGTCTAAATGATGAAACTGAATTAATCGTAATATATTAATAGTAGTAGTAATCAGGATCGGATTAAGACCCATAGGGGCACTAAGCACTTAAAAGATTTTGGGCCCTCCATACATGTGAAAGATGGAGTCTCGGTAAGTAGTACAAATAAATAAAGGCTACCAACCGAGAACGTGCATCGTGGAAACGCTAGCTGGAAATAAATATAGAATGAACCGAAGTCACATGCTGACCATCAGTTCCAACCCAGAGCAACACCAACCAAGAAAGAAACAATCACAGCTGTGCAGCCATGACCAGATTCTAACAGAACTGTGACCAGAAGTGGTTGTGTCATAAACAAACCAGAGTGTTACAGAATCGCATAAAAATATGGCTAGAATAATGCCAAAAGAACATGAAGATAGTCTACCTATGTTCATAAAATTAAATCCCATTAAGTTCATTAGTAATACTAACTTATCTATAAATATAAATGACAATAGGAAAACTGTAATGGTTGCCAACGTATTTCGTTCAATGTGGACTTTCTCAAGGCAAAAAAAAAAAACAAAAAACGAAATGAATTTATTTAAAGAGAGTAATTAATAATAGCAAAATAAAAAATGTCCTTAGCAACTGGAAGAATTTAGAGAACGCTATTTTCATACTGTTAACTGAAAATTACGTCAATTACTGTCACACGTGGAGATATTGTTATTATTGCTGTGTTGACGGATTCAATCATTTTCTTTTGATTTCACGATATTGTGTATATTTGTTTGGGAGAGTAGTAATTCTGCTAAGAAAGGTGAAATAGGGAAAAAGCCTGGGCGTAGATTAATATTTGGATAATATTCAATGGCGACACTCTCGAGGATTTTCCTTCTGAGTGAGTTATTTTCTTTTTTGATGAGTGTAGCATTTTAAAATCAAAATTGTAATTGAATTTATTTCTATGTATGACTAGTGCATTAGCTAAGTTGTTTTATGCGAGATCTTTTTTGTGCTTATAAATGCGGTTTTTAAAAAATTTCTACTTGTTTCTCCAATATATTGGGAGGAGCAGTCTTGGCAAATTATCTTATAAATGCCCACTTCAGAAATATTACTGCTATTAGTGTTTGAAGATCTGAGTATATCCATAATGGTTTTGGAAGTGTTTGTGACTATTTTAAGATTATTTAGATGAGATAGGTTATTTTGGATAGTGGACGTGCAGGAGTTGGTCGGTAGTATTACGTATCGGTTTTCATGTAACAGTATGAAAATAGCGTTCTCTAAATTCTTCTAGTTGCTAAGGGAATTTTGGTTTTGCTATTATTAGTTACTTTGTTTAAATAAATTTATTTCGTTTTTTGCCTTGAGGAAGTCCGCATCGGACTAAACGCGTCGGCAACTACTACAGTTTTCCTATTGTCATTTATATTTATAAATATTGTCTTTTCTACAGGTTAACTCTGAGAAATTTTCATAATACTATTGAACCTATTGAATTCAGTTCATTTCCATGTTGACAGTTCAAAAATCAACTATGGATGATAGGCATTGATGAGATGTGAAGGAAAAAACCAAAGTTCATCATCCAACTTAATTTTCCAGATCAAAAGAGCCTTTGGTAAGTGCTTTAATTAAATTAATGTTTCTGTGGGAAAAAAAGATTCCCAGTGGGTTCTTTGGACCAGTAAACGCCTGTTTAACATTCTTGCAAAACTCATGGCACATCAACAATTCAAATTAGGAGCCTCGGATTGATTTGAAAATATTCCAATAGATTAAATGAAGGATTCTTTGGTCTCACTTGTCTAAAAAGAAATTTTTTTTTGTTTTGCTGGGAGCTAATAATGTTATTAATTTTACACATCAATATAAGATTCAAATTTAAATCTTAAAATGGGTAATTTTTAACTTTTAATTTCAATTTTTTTCATTCCAATTTAATACTTAAACAAAATAAATTCTATTTTTTAGTCCTACGTCTCTTAAAGGGACCCGAAGGAAATCTTATTTCGTTGTCAATTTTTTTAATTCTCGTATACTTGTATTTTACATTGGTCATTCAGTAATATGGTTGGCTACCTAGCCAGGGAATACAGATGGATGTGGAGGTATGGACTACGTCGGGAACTTCCACATGCATACTTGAACAATAGTGCCAAATCCCATTACGGTCATTATATTTCTTAAATGTATACTTTGTTGCAAGAAAATATACCCCTCATAAGGACATATTTAGAAATTTTCATATACTTAATAATATATATAATATTCAAATTCAGAGACAGGAAGGTGAATTATTAATTCGCATTTCATTGAAGAGATTACTATCTAGTGAATAAATAAATCGCCCTATCATCATCTTAAAATGCTACAAAAAACATTGTTCTAACCTGTTTCTCAGGATGCAATTATATATTTAAGTCTTTGGACGGGACCCGAAATAAATGGGTCTTTAGGGTGAAATCAAACGAAATAAATGAATAATAAAATAGTGACTTTGACGGATTCTTCTTTTCCTTTTATAACAACCTACTGGCGGATCCTCATAATATGTTTCACCTACCAAAAATACTCACCTGGATCTTTTTTTTTTTTAGTTTGTATGTGTGCGTGTGTGTATCTTTTTTTTACTGGCAGGAAATAGTTTTTATTTAACAGCTCAGTAATCTTTTTCGGTATTAACTCCATCCTGCCCTAAACTGGTGAAATAGTCCTAAAATTAATCACACAAAAAAAAAAAACAATTGCAAATAAAAAGGAAAATATATGATATATAGATAGATATATAGATAGATATATATATATATATATAAAATATATGTATTTTTATTTACCAACCCCATAGGTTTTTCTGCATATACGACTGGATAAGCTTTATGAAAGAATGTTCTTTACTAATAAACAGTAAACTATTTCTTTCGTCTAATAAATCCACTTTGACGCATATATTTTTGGTCGCATTTTTATAGTGAAGTTATATATTATATATATATTTTTTTTTTTTATATATATACATATATATATAGATAGATAGAAATTATAGATAATCCTAATTAACATACATACAAATTCAATAGAAAACATTCTTGCCTAAATTAAATCTGCATCATAATATAACACATACATATATATTTTATAAAAGATTTAGAAATAGATCTTAAATTAACTCAATGTCAGGACATTTTCGGATATCCTGATGAAATTATTTTGAGGGGCAAGAAGAATAGTTCTATTAAGAAATATATATATATATATATTTCCTACATAATCTAATTAAATATCTTGTGATCAGGAAATCTATAAAATTTAAAATCAAATAACCTTGTGTTTGAACAGTTTACGTCGATTTTGTTGTCCGTTCCTGTTAACACTAGTAACCCAAATTTGCCCTGAAGGTTTAGTTTTTGCTGGCAGATAAATTGAAAATTCCATTGTAGATTAACACACACACAGATTGAGTGAAAATAGAAAAAAAACCCGGAGGCAGTTTCATTAATCTTTAAGACCATCATGCATGTCAGGTTTTTTTTTTTTTTAACCAAGAAATTTGTTTGACGCATAAGATTGGACACTGTTCAAACCAAACTGCTTGTCTAGTTTTTTTTCGTTTTTTTGCCTGAGGGAACTCAAGCGAACCATTATAACAGGGGTTTAGTTCTGGGATGAAAAAAACTCTTTTTGGATTGTTTTTTTTTTTTTTATCAATCAACACTGAATTACTTCTCATGCAAAATGTGAATGGCTTGCTATGATTAATATTTTGAGGCCATGCTGGGAAGGTGTTTTGTTCCAAAATGTATATATTCGTTCCGAATCCAACATTGAATTGCTACATGGGGCATGCATGAATTCCTCTAATTGGCTTTCTGTATTTTCTGGAGTCGTAGAAGACTTTGTGTTAACGATTATTCCACAAATTCTCAAATATGATTCACAGTCGCCCTAGGATACTGTTGGCCAAAACAACATTTAACAGAACATGAGATATTTCCATGTTTTAAAGGAAATTTTGGGGTATGATTTGATCATTGTTGAGTTGACTGTGAAATTCGACCATTTTCAAATTGCAG